ATAAGCGCTTCTTTCTATATTTTAAATATACTTTAGATATTTATAGCTATATATATACGCCCCCTCTTATATTTTATATATATTTTATATATTTCGATATTCTTTATATACGCGATATATCTATTAAAGATAATCTTATTAATTTAATTAATTTCTATTTAATCTTATATTTATTAGTTATAAGAAAAGCTCTTTATTTTAATATTATAACTTTATTAATTTATTATTCTTAAATATCGAGCCGTTTATAGCTTACGATTAATTTACTTACTTTCTTCTCTTCTTCTATTATAAAGATAGAAGAAGATATTATTTCTTTTTCGCCTTCGTCTATAACGAATTAATTATTATTTTTATAAGATTAAAGATATCGACTTAAAGACGATATTCGTTTAATTAAAAGCGAAGAATATAATATTTTAATATTTTAACATCTTAAGTAAAAGATATTATAATATTACTTAAATAAAAGAGAGTTATATTAATAAGAAAGATATTAATATTTAAAAATAATCTTAGCGCGATAGAAGATTTAATTTTTATATATAGAAGATTTAGATAATAATTAATCTAGCTAATTAAATTATTAAAGCGTTTAAGCTAGATTTTAATTCTATATTAATATCTAATAAAATAAATTTAATAGTTTTAAGATATTAATATACGCTTTTATTAATATAATTAGCGATTAGAATATTAATTAAATAAATATAATCTTTAATTTTAATAATTAAAATAATATAATAATAAATAAGTATTAATATTAAAATAAATAAAGTATATATTATATTAAGTAGAAAAGCGTTAATAGCTAGACTAATTAGAGTTTTAAATTAATAAAATTAAATATTAATTCTATATTAATATTATTATATACTTTTAAATATATAATTACTAATTATAATATTAATTAGAAAGAATTAATCTTTAATTTAAAATATCGAAAATAATATAGCGATATATTATTAAAGCGATATAAGTTATTAAAGCGATATAAGTTTCTATTATAGCGAGAAGATAGAATTTATATATTAAATATTAATTCTTATTTTATTTCTAATATTTTATTTATTTATATATCTCTTTTAATTTCTCTTTAAATATCTTAATCTTAAGATATTAATTAAATCTTTATTTAGCGTAAACTTAACTTTCTTAATTAACGATATTTAATATAAAATATTAATAAATATATTTCGATATAAAGATAGTAATAAATCTTACTTTCTTTTTTAATATTAATAATAAAAAATAATAAATATAGTAATAAATAAAGATAGTATAGATTATATAGAATTAGTTTAAATCTAATAGCGATTATTAACCTATTTATTAGAGCTTAGAAATTAGAAAATTCTAGAAATAAATATAATTTAACGAATATACGCTTATCGATTTCTAAGAAGTTATATATTATTTATTATTACTATAATAAGATTCTAATTTATTTATTTATAGATTATAAAATAAGCGATATAATAGTATATATTAAGTTTAAGAAATATATTAAGAAATCTAATTTAAGTAGTTTATAATAAACGAATCTAGTTAATAATTATAAAAATTAGATATATTTCTAAATTAGACAATATAAATTATTAATAAATAAAACAATAAATAGAATATCTAATTTACTATTTACTCTAGAAAAGATAATATTAAAATTCTCTTATAATATTAGAAAGTCGAAAGCTTATACGCGAAGACTTCTTAAAATAATTTTATCGCTAAATTATAAATATTAATATTTTATTTATAATTACTAATAATTCTAAGATATTATAACTTTTACGCTATCTCGATCTTAATATATAATTAAAATTAATATTTATTATAAAGAATTAATTAATAAGAAAAGCTATAGAGCTAGAGATAAGATTATTAAAGAATTTATTAGTCGATAATATTAAAGTCTCTCTAACTCTAAATTATTAATTATCTTATAATTATTAATTATTTATAATAATTCTAGCTTTTTTTATTAATATTAATTAATAATAATATAAGATTCTTATAGATTTTAAATATATCGAAGATAAATATATTAGCTAGAAACTTATAAGTATTATTAATTTAATTCTTATAAAATATAAGATTTAGAATTATATATTTAAATTTATAACTAATAACGCTAATAATAATAATATACTTTATAAAGATTTAATTATTTATCTTTTTATTTTTATAATAAATAACTCGCTTAATATTAAAGAATTTAAGTTTTTAAATTATTTATAATATATTTTTTATATAGTATATATTATTTAATTAATCTTAAAAGAACTTCTAGATAATATTAGAGTTATTTTAATAAATAAGAAATTTTAAAGAAGCTAAGATAATAAAGAAGATAAGAATTAAGTTTAAATAAGTATAATTAATCTATTAATAACTCTAATAAAAATATAATATTTCTTATTATTATTCTAATTATTATATTATTAATTATATTAAAATTTAAAAAATTATTATATATATTAATATTAGCGACTAGCGTAAAGAGATCTTTTTTATATTATAAACTAAACGACTTTAAGATAAAAATATTTTAATATTAGATAAATATTAATCTTTAAAAAAAAGTAATATTATTAAGAGACGCTCTTTTAAGCTCTTTTAGAATATTAAGACTTATTAAAATTTAACTTATTAGATATTAATTCGCGCTCTACTTCTTTATATTAATATTATATACTTTTTAAAAAATAGATTAACTATCTATTTAAGATTAAATAATAAAAAATAATTATAAATAAAAATTATAGTCTAGACGTCTAAATAATTTTTAATTAATTTCTAATAGATTTAATATTTAATTTAGCTTATTAGATTTTTTTATAAATTTATAAAATTAATAAATAGAGAAAAGAAGATTATAATTTACTACGTCTTTAATATTTATAATTATCTATTTAATTATATAGATAAAGAGCTTAGAAAATTAAGAAGAAAGAGAATTTCTTAGAAAAAAGAACTTTTTAAAGCTTTTAAAACGGCTCGCGAGAAATTAACTATCTATTATAATCGAACTTAATTAGATTTAAACTATCTATATAAATAAGTTACGCTTTTATATTTAAATTATAATAATATAAAATTAAAGAAATTAAATTAAAAGATTAATATTAGAAAGAAGTTATAGATAAAGATCTATTAAAAAGCGCTTAAAAGGATATTTTAAAATTATTAAAATATTAATATAAGTAGTTAATTATAAAGAGCTAAGCGAATAAATTAATTAAATAAAAATACGCTTAATTAAGCGATAAAATTTAAGATTAAGAATTTAGATAATAAGAATAAATATAATTAGCTTTAGTAATATAGATAAAATAATAAGTCTTCTAATTATTATTCTAATTATAATCTTATCTCTAATCTTTATAAAGCTTCTTTTAATAATCTAGCGAATCTTTTAATTCTAAAGTAATAAAAGAAATTAAAGTTTAAATACATTATAGTTCGCTAAAATAACTTATAATATTCTTTATTCTCTCGCGGAGGCTATTATATATAAGCGATACTTCTTAATAATTAAAAGATATTATAATACTTAAAAGTATTATTTATTAGCGATATTTTATACTCTAATAATAATTCTTTATATAAAGTATTAAGAAAATAAGTTTAAATAAGTTAGACTTAATTTTAAAGAAGATTTTAATATATCGAATTAGATTAAAAGAGCTAATAGTACTTTATATAAAAATTTAATTAATAATTATAATAATTATATTAATAAAGATAATAAGCTTATAAAAAGTACTTCGATAAGTTTAATATTTATAAATTTATTAAGATATATCGCTAATACTCTATAATATATAGAGAAATAATTAATAAGCTTATAATTAGAGAGAATTAGTAATAATAAATTTAATCTTAATAAAGAGATTTAAAATAACTTAAAAAGCGAATTTATTTATAAATAGTTAATAAGTTTAATTAGATAGAGATAGACTTAGAGATATTTAATAGAATTAAGATAGAGTAGAATAGAAGAGTAAATTAGAGTTTAAGAGAAGAATAAATATAAAGTTTATTAAGCTTATTTAACGCGTTAAGATAAATATATAAATAAAGATAATTATAGAATTTTATTCTTATAATATTTAAAGATTTAAAATTTAGAATATTCTTTTATATTATAATTTTAAGAAGAAGAATAGAGACGCTTATAGTTCTAATTATTATTCTAATTATTAATATTAATAAAAAGATAAATAGCTATATTAAATTACTCTTTATATTCCCTCTCTCTTAATAAAGAAGAATAAATATAAGCGACTCGAACGATGGACCGATGGCGTCCAAGTCGACACTAATCCACTATCCTCAAATAGTGTCAAGATAGACGCGCTCGAGTGAGATGGCCCTTTTGAAGCATTATCATTCCCTATTCTTGCGACGACGATGCTTTGACTCTTTCCATCTCTCGCGCTTCTATCTCGCCAATAATCAGATCTGCCTACTGGGCCTACCCTACAGTACTCTTCAGAAGAAACACCACGATATCCAGAACCGGCGCAAGCTGCCCCGGGAATCGCGTTCCTCTTCAGCATCTGTCCTCCGATCCGCAGGCCTCTGACCCCCTTGTCACCGCACTGGCGTGGGCACTGACATTTTTGGCCAATATCTTTTCCTATCTATTACGCTCTATACACACTCCCTCTCATACTGAATATACATTGTAACACCCTTCTCCCTTCTGCCTTCTCCCATTCGTCTAGATGCAAGCTTCAGGTATCATCGACCCATGCAATTTCCCCTGCTTAACAAAGAACGCCATCAGCTCTTGTTTTCCACCAGGGGTTATATCCGCACACCCAGGCAGTTGCTCGGGCGCCTTGTCTGTCATCTAGCCACCGGTGCCTACCATTGATATACATAAGGTCCTCCTCCGGGGGTTTAAACATGCGCTCGATATAGCACACCGCGAACACCACTCTGCTCAGCAACTTCTTGGCAAATCTTCAATTTATCTTTGAAAGCAGGCAGACATGAGTCCTCAATCGTCATCCAAGAATGCTCTCGTGTCTGTGAAAAGCGAAACCTCTTATCACAGTCCGCCTTCCTCCTTATCTGATGCTTCTCCACACGACAATGAGGCAGCAAGAGGTCGACGGCAAGATCGGAGCACCACTGCCAAAGCGGAGGATGATAGTGGCGAGGAGAAAGAAAATGAAGGTGAAGATGCCGGTGGAAAGCCTCGAAAAAGAAAGAGGAGCAGGAAGGGCCTGGAGAAAAATTTCCCATGCCCACACCAAGGCTGCGGTAAAAGCTATTCCAGAGCGGAACACCTGTACCGTCATCAGCTGAATCGTGAGTTTTCGCCTCTGCTACTGATTGTGTGCAATTGCTGACTGGAATACAGACACACCGAAAAAGATTTATACCTGCGATTTTCCTGGATGCGAGCGTAAATTCGTCCGGCAAGACCTGTGCACTAGGCATCGTGAGAGGCACACAGCACGTGGCTCGCATCTTCAACGGAAAGAAAACAATTCACATGATCGTGACGATCGAAATGCGCAAGCTATGGGTGTCGATGGCCCACGAGATCATCCAGATTCAAAGTACGGGCCGTCTGCGGGTCCTCATGCACCACCCACGAATAATCTTTCAACTGCTCCTCCATCATTCATCAAAGCTCATGAGATCCATACCATGTCTCCTCAATCTCCGTTGCCAGGAAGAATCACAGAGTCTTACCAACCAAACTCGAGCAGTACCAGCCCACCTGGTAGCGATTTGAAATCGCCACACTCTCTGGACACCGTTGCAAGCTCAGAATATAATCCCAAAATGTCGTCTTTGCAAAGGTCGAATAGTGATGACCACTACTACGCGGATGCGGCTGGAGGATATGATTCACGGGTGCTACGCAATGCGTCTGGCCCAACGTACGATTCAAGCCAGAGACATTCAAGCTTTGGTTCGTACAAATCGACATTGCCTCAGAAAAATATGTATCCAGACTCACGCATCTCTCGGCCCAATACCCACATAACGACGAATCCTGCAAATTATCGGCCCTCTCCAACTTCCACCTACAATGGCCACTCCGCTACTACTCCCATGGCCCAGTCTCAGATGCAGAATAACGTTGGTGGCGGTACATACCTATCACATCAGAATTTCCCCTCACTCCCGCCCTTGCCCCCACCTGTAATGTCTCCGATGTCCCAAATGTCCGCGCAAGGACCACCGTCGGGAGCTTACTCGACTGTCTCCACTCCACTAACACCGGTGGATACTGCCACAAGTTTTGAAATGTACGGAGGGTATGGCCTCGATCCGAACTTCTTGGATCAGAATGGAAACCCATTTTCGATGCCTCTTTTTGGCGGAGATGGCTACAGTCGCTCCCCTTTTGCAATGGCCGACGACTTCACAGCCTGGCTATTCAACGAGCCGCATCAGAATATCTCGTCGCCCGGGGGTCCTCGGCACGGCTCGATGTCCGTTGGGACTACTGCTTTTATGGATGACTCTGGCAGTACATCTCGTGGGACATATGGCACGATCAACGACTCTTTGAATGGTCCCGTGGGTCAAGCCATCCCGCAACAAAACCTCATGGCAGTGACAAGTATTCTGGACCCAGCCTTGCCGCAAATAGTTCTTTCGGAAGAGAAACGGAAAGATATACTGGATCTTATTGAGATGCGATTCACAGATCATGCGCCGGTTAAGAAGCAGACGGATGCTTTCCTTGACGGTGATCGTGACCTCGATGGTCATGTTCTAAGCCTACGCTCCATGCAGACTTACATTGGATCTTACTGGTACCATTTTCACCCGCAAATGCCAATCCTGCATAAGCCAACTTTCTCCGCGGACAAGACTCAAAACGTGTTGCTACTTGCGGTCATCGCAATCGGTGCGTCCTGTCTCGACAAAATGCACGGCCCCGACGTTACTCAGGCCGGGGCAGAGCTCTCCAACTTTCTAGCATGGCATTTGCGGGGGGAGATCTTCAAGCATGTGGATTTTCTACCGCCTGCAAAGCTGTGGGTTTTCCAGACTCTGCTGCTCCTGGAGGTGTATGAGAAAATGTATTCCACGCGCGTGCTCCATGAACGTGCGCACATTCACCATGGAACCACCCTCACCCTGATGAGACGGGGAAGCTCTCTTATAGGTCGGTCAGCGCTCGATTCACCACCAATGGTCAAAGACGATGGTCCTGGCTTAGCCTCAAGCAGTACCCAAGCTTCGACCTCACATACACCCGAGCAATGGTGGAATCATTGGGTCACTAATGAGGCGACTCGGAGGGTGGCCTTTGCCGCTTTCATCATCGACTCCATCCATGCCACCATGTTTGGACATTCGGCGACCATGGTTGCTCATGAAATGAAGCTGCAGCTTCCTTGCGATGAGACATTGTGGTCTGCCACCAGCAGTGCCGAGGTTGGGCGTATCGAAACCAATCTCCGGTCAAACGGTATCAAGCCTATGACTTTCTTTGATGGGCTAAAAAACACCTTGAAAAACAAGCCTGTGCGAACAAATTCGTTCGGACGCACAGCCATCATGGCTGGGTTGTTGAGCGTGAGCTGGCACATGAATCAACGTGATGTGCAAGTCCATCATCTCGGCGCCTTGAAAGCGTTAGGAGGCAAGGACATTTGGCGCGGACCTTTGACCAAAGCTTTTGATTCTTGGAAAAACGATTTCGATCAGAGTATTGGGAAGGATACGCTACCAGCGTCTGCCGCTTACCCATCCGGTAGGCTTGACGAGGAGAATATCTTCGAGAGCCGCACTGTCTTGCACCATCTTGCCCACATGGCAATGCATGTTGACGTCGTAAGCTGCCAGATCTTTGCAAAGGCTGGCCGGCTACTCGGTCGGACAACTCTACCGTCGGATTACGCAATAGCACAGAAGCGGATAAAAGAAAACTGGGCTCCAAGACCAAGTGCGCGACACGCGACGTTCTATGCCCTGAAGTTTCTGGCCCAGGTGCTGATGCCCGATACCGCGAGCTCGCATCGCAACCCGGCTCTGATGAGCAAGGAGAACCTCTCACCATATTCCGCCAGGGACGATTTTCTGCTCAACCGGCCATGGGTTCTCTACTTTGCCGCCCTCATTGTCTGGTCGTACGGTTATGCTTTGGACGGCCCCGTACGAGTCGTACCGAGCTTGTACACTCTAGAGCAACAAACGTACGATATGAGAGCGTTTTTAACCAGAGTGGGGGGGATTCAAGATCCTCGAGAACTCGAACAGATGAAGGACCGGAATGCTTGTCTCGGAATGCTATATGTGCTCCAGGCCATGTTTGAGAAATGCCGTTGGGAGTTGTTGCACGAGGCAGCAAAGTTGCTTGGGAATTGCATAAACATGCTGAGAGGATCTGGTTGAAAAGTACTCAGGAGATGGACGGAGCATTTTGAGAACGAGCGCACTTCACGATACCCCTAGGAGTATTTCTGGTGGATGACTTCCATTTGTTACGATGTAAATGTTTCAGAATATCACGAGACGTATGCAAGACGTTAAGCTCTAACGGAAATATATCAGTCTTAGCATTTCAGTCACCACACAGATTTGTGCCCACATGTGCAACTTATGGAGGAAGACGGACTATCGGGATCTGCTTTTACTTCGCTCAGAAATTGTTGTGAAATGTGTTTAAAATTACAGTTACGGTGGTTGGCTGCGTAGTTAAGTCTCTGAGTCGTAGAAATGTAGGTAGCCTTCCGTTCCGCCCTCGGCCCGTTGCTGAGCTCCCGAGTCTCGTCCCATATCACCTCCTTGCCCATCCATAAATTCCCAATCATGCCTCCGCAGCGCAATCGCAATGGGTTTGACGATTCCAGATCAGAAGCATCTAGTACAAGAGATAAACAACCCGCCTATACAGGCATCTCAAAAGGACGGCGAAATGGAACGTCGACGTTGGCAGGAAGTAATCTAAAAGATGTCACTAACGCCCAGACACCCACAAGTGGACAGCAAGGGGACGCCGTCGTGAGTGTAAGAACATGCGCATGGCTAGCGATCAAGTCATTATACTAATCTCGACTCCACTAGATCGACTGGCAGACTTTCGATACTTCTGTGCTACATGCCTATCGCCATGTGCATCGTCTCAACACTCCACCAGCCTTCATTTCGTCCTATAACCAGAGGATGCTTACAAGACCGGGCATTGGACAGCATTCACCTACAATGGCACGGCATCGTGCGCGCCGACGTACTGGTAAAGCCGTTCTGGCGCTCGCGGTAAGGAAGGACTTCAACGCTGCCATAGTCCTTGAGTCTGAACTCATCTCTTCTTTTTTGTATGTTGTTCAAAACCAGGGTAACATTACAAGCGCTTACTGGAATTCATGCCCCAAGTTGTTAACAGTCTCCGCAGACAAGAATTTCCGTATGCGATTCGAGCCGTCGCAGGCCAAATAGGGCAGAAGGGGTGAGGAATGTCAACACTACCGATTGAAATGCTCAACAAGTCACTCTTCTTGGGGACCTCGAGTTATGGTGGTAGTTGACGTTGACCTTGCATGGAAGTACAGCACAGGCTTTTGCTTTTATGAGTCAAATATCAGAGCGCGTCAAATCCCGTGTGCGGGGGCCGCAGAGACCACTCTCAAATATAGATGCTTGTTTTAAATATCTTATCGGAGAGGCCCCGTAGAGTGCTGGTAGAGCTGGTGTGAGAAGTATTATTACTTCCCTCGTTCACCAAATTATAAGTTGGCTCCTATCGGGGAAATGAAGGTCCGACCGTGAAATATTTTCTTCGACAGCGAGACTCAGAAAAAAACCAGCTACTGCAGCAATACGGAACACCGTTGTTGGACCAAATTGGTTTTCGAAGACAACTTCAGTTGCCGCTAATCTCAGGCCTATCGAGGTGGTCTGGAGTAGGATGAGTGGCATCGCGCAAAGCTTGTCCCCCAGGGCAGCAATCCATATACATTCATTGCGCTCGTCAACGCCCTGCCAGAGACAATGTACGATTCGAAAGGCACCAAGAAGAACGCTCTATGATATAAGATACAGTACACTAGGTCATGCAGCATGTTTTCCCCGGGCGAGGCGAAAGCCACAGCTCACCACCTGCGGTCAAAGGGTAGGGCCGTGATTCCTTAAATGAAATAATCCTCTGTGTACCGGTTCTGACGTTGCTTAGTCCTTCCATGCAAGCTCTATCAGAAATGCAACTAAGAATCCGTATACTGTACTAGGCGTGGATAAGAATGCATCGTCATCTGACATTAAGAAGGCGTATTACTCCTTGGCCAAAAAGTACCACCCTGACACGAACAAAGGTGCAGGAGCAAAAGACCGCTTCGCGGAATCCCAGACAGCCTACGAGATGCTTTCCGATCCGAAAAAGAAAGAGGCTTGGGATCAATATGGGGCTGCAGCTTTCGATCAGGGTGCAGGATTTGACCCAAGCGGGGCTGCTGGCTCTGGTGGAGGACCATTTGGTGGAACTGCTGGCCCTGGTGGGTTTGGTGGCTTCTCTTCTGGGGGTTTCGGAGCCGACATCAATTTCGAGGACCTTTTTGGCGCGTTCACAGGAGGAGGCCGAAGGGGCAGAGGTTCACGGCAGTCCCCACTTCAAGAGGAAGTCCTTGTTGGACAAAACATCGAGGTGCAGACGAACATATCCTTCATGGATGCAGCAAAGGGAACGAGTAAGGATATCCTCATCACACCTCTCGTACAGTGCAGGACATGTTCTGGTGCAGGGTTGAAGAAGGGGCAAACACGATCGCCTTGCAAAAAGTGTGGTGGGACGGGGACACGGGTACATTTCATGCAAGCAGGCTTTCAAATGGCGAGCACCTGCGAGACTTGTGGTGGCCAGGGAGTGATGATACCAAAGGGTGGAGAGTGCGGCTCTTGCAGTGGGAACGGAGTAGTGAGAGAGCGGAAAACAGTCAACATCGATGTACCGGGCGGTGTAGAAGACGGCATGCGAATTCGTGTCTCCGGAGAAGGCGACGCTCCGCCTACTGGTACAGCTGCGAATCCGAACGCCCAGTCTACGAGAGGAGATCTTTATGTTTTCATCAGGGTCGCTGCGGACTCGAAGTTCAGTCGCTCTGGCGCAGATGTACTCTATACGGCATCCATCCCACTCACAACGGCTGTACTTGGCGGTGAAATCAGTGTCCCAACATTGGAAGGAGAGGTGAAGCTCAAGGTAGCGACCGGTACCGGAACTGGTGACAAAATCACTCTGAGTGGAATGGGGATGCCTCGACTTGGAGGGCGGCGTAATGCACTGGGAGACTTACGTGTGGAATACAAGGTCTCAATGCCTAGGTATCTAACATCGAACCAGCGGACGATTTTGGAGATGCTTGCAGACGAGCTTGAGGACAAGAGTGCCAAACGAGTGATGAACGTTGGGAGGGCTAAGTACTAAATCGTGTCTATGCCTAAGCATATTCAGGCTGACTTGTCGACAGTGATCCGCCATCCACTACGAAAGATGCATCAAAATCCTCGGCATCTGCTGAGTCCCACAAGAACGAAGGGTTTCTGAAAGCTGCGTGGAATAGGCTGACACAGCAGCACGATAATCTACCGCCAGAAGAAGCGGCTCGCGATTCAAAGGCCGCAAACAAAGCTCAAGAAGAGGAGCCCAAGAAAGCATCGGGATCAGGATCGGGGTGATTGAGTGTAGCTCACAGCCTGCGAATTCTTTTTTCTTTCTTAATCCTACGATGTATGCATGTTCTGGCACATAGCGATGGTGTAGGCGCACGTTCAGGGTTCTTGTTAGGCATTTCTGCACAGGTTAGAGATGTACATTAGATCCAGACACCCTCCACATGCACAAGATCAAAGATTCTATTACGAATGTCCAGGTACAAAAGCTTTGGGATGTTGTGGGCGCATAATGTTGTGGCGTTGGCAAGGAAGAAACGGCTCCGCTGAGTGCGCTAGCGGAGCTGTCAATGTATTGGTTCTCAGCAGACGACACTGGTGATTACATTTCTAGAGTTACTTATCCCGCAATCGAGTCTCTCACACATAAGCGCTTCCACGAAAACTGATATGCATCAAACCTACCCTGTGAATCGTACAGAGTGAGTCGTGACTCAATACTGACGGCACTCATGCTCCGTACCACACGGCTCCTGGCTCGAAGAACTTGAATTTCACTTTTTACTCCGCATCGATGATACACATACTGCGCATAATCGATACCGTTCCAAAGACTTGGATGGAACAAAACAAGCCTTGCACACTGGAGGGTCTCCATCGTAGCCAATACACATTTGCCGCCGTTACTTGATGAACTGTCCCTCGAAGCAATCGTTTCAAGCTGGGCAGGCGATGTGTATGTGAGAACTGCGGTCACATAGTTCTCCAAGATGTTGCAGCCTCCGATGATCTCGAGCCCGCTAAAGCAGACGAATGAAATAGACTGGATTTACCCCCTAAAAAATTACATCAGGCAGACGTACGGCGATGACCCTGAGAGGTATGCAGAGGAGTGCAATACCCTCAATAGATTGCGACAAGACATGCGAGGAGCAGGCAAAGATAGCACAGCTGGAAGAGATCTTCTATATCGCTACTACGGTCAGCTGGAGTTGCTAGACCTTAGGTTTCCGGTCGATGAGAATCACATCAAGATTTCGTTTACATGGTATGTGCTGCACGACTCGCAAACATTGACCCACACACAATTGCTGATCGCGTGGGATTCTCTAGGTTTGATGCCTTCACGCATAAGCCTACTGCTCAGTACTCACTTGCGTATGAAAAAGCATCCATCATATTCAACATTTCTGCGGTGCTCTCGTGTCATGCTGCCTACCAAAATCGCTCCGACGAGACTGGGCAGAAAACGGCATATCACTCATTCCAGGCAGCTGCTGGGATGTTTACCTACATCAACGAGAACTTCTTACATGCGCCATCTACAGACCTGAGTCGAGAGACAGTCAAGACTCTGATTGCCATAATGCTGGCACAAGGTCAAGAGGTATTCCTTGAGAAGCAAATAGCTGATGGAAGAAAGGTTGGCCTGCTTGCTAAACTTGCAAGCCAAGCAGCGTCTCTGTATGCCCAAGCTGCCGAGGGCGTCCAAGACAATGTATCTCGGGGAGTGTTTGATAAGCTTTGGCTACATCTTACTCAAGTGAAAGCAAACTACTTGTCGTCTATCGCTCAGTACTACCAAGCACTTGCCGATGACGACGCTAATTCTCATGGCATCGCTATTTCTCGACTTCAGATTGCAGAAACCGAAGGCAAGGACGCGGCTCGAATCGCTATTTCATTTCCATCCACAGTGTCCGCTGCCTCGAATCTTGGCTCAGAGACCGGGTCAAGTCTCGTAGAGATGACCAAAAAGCATCTAGCGAACGTCCAGGAAAGGTTAGCAATTTGCAACAAGGACAATGACTTTATCTATCACCAGACAGTGCCTGCCGAAGCTGCCTTAAGCGGAATACCAAAACTGCAAGCAGCAAAGGCAATACCCGTGAGTGATCTATACCAAGGACAGGATATCCAACGCATTATAGGCCCCGATATCTTTCAAAAGATCGTCCCAATGTCCGTTACCGAGTCAGCAAGTCTGTACGATGAAGAAAAAGCAAAGTTAGTCCGTGCTGAGGCAGAAAACGTGGAGACTGCCAACGGAGAGATGGCCGCCAGTCTTGATTACCTGAAGCTCCCCGGAAGTCTCAACGTTTTGAAGGGGGGTATGGATCAGGAGACGAGTTTAGATGAGGGATTTCGGACTTGGTGTGAGGAGCTCGCAGGCCACGAGCCTTTCGGAAGCGCATTCGATCAACTTCAAAGAGAAAGATCTAGCGTATTGAGTACGCTGGAGAGATGTACCAAACAACTAGACATGGAGGAAAGTATCTGTGAGAAAATGAGATCCAAATATGGTGGAGATTGGACGCAACAGCCAAGCTCCAAGCTGACCTCAACGCTTCGCAGCGATATAATGAGCTATAGAGGTGCGGTCGAAGAAGCGAGTGGTAGCGACTCGCAATTACTTCATACTTCGCGGCAATATGAATCGGATTTTGACGAAATGCGCTCAGCTGGCGAACTTGATGAGGCTGATGTGCTGTATCAGCGCGCTTTGCTCAGTGTAGGGGCAAATCGCGGTAAGAGCAGGAATGGTGTTGGTAGTCCAATGACACCAAACAGAGAAGGAAACCTCCTTGACGACGATTTCGGCGAAGGGGGTCTTAGCGTCATGGACCAGATTGCCAAAGTTGAAGATCTGTTAAGAAAGCTGGACTTGATCAGACGGGACAGGACACAGGTGCTCAAAGACCTCAAGGAAAAGGTTGGAATCCCTTGAATCCCCCAACTCAAATAAGGCTAATTGACGTTCTTTGAAGGCCCATAACGATGATATATCTAACGTACTTATTCTGAACAAAAAATCGATATCCAATCATGAGAACCAGCTTTTCCAGTCTGAGCTCGAGAAATATAGACCTCATCAAAATAGGTTACTGCAGGCAACTCACAAGCAGACGGCGTTGATGAAAGAATTGACAAAGACTTACGGTATCCTTCTTCAAGACAAGCGGGTCAAGTCAGAACAGGCAAAATACGAGGCCTTCACTAGACAACGCAACTCTGTCCTGACAAAGTACAAGAAAGTATTTCAAGCTTTCAATGACCTAGTCCAGGGACTGATGAGCGCGCAAAGCTTCTACTCCGAGATAAAGCAAACCGCAGAGAGTCTCGAAAAGAACATCGAGCAGTATGTCAACAATCGCCGTACAGAGGGCGCAAATTTGCTCAATGGAATCGAACAAGAGAAGGGAAGCAATGCTGGAAGCCAGGCGGACCGAGAGCGAGATAGGTTGCGCGAGCTCATGGAGCGAATGTCGGTCGATCCATCATCCTCGTCACCAACAAAGTCTAGCTTATCACGTCCGAGCCCATCGTCAAGGCCATCGCAGTCCAAAGACTTATACGCCTCCAAATCTCCAGTCATATCGTCAACATTCTACTCGAAGAAAGCTTCAAATTACGGAAATGGCAATGTATCCGTGAAGTCACCAGTGTCTACGGCTTCCTATCAGGGTTTTGCGCAGCACACGCCAGATGTCAGTCACCAGCATCTAAACACCAGGGATACATTGCCTTCTTCTTCCGATCCCTATAACCCGATGGTGTATCCATATCAATCGCCTGCGTCTTCGCCTCCTTCTCAGCCGGCTCAAAGTCACCCACAGTACCCGCCGCAGCAAAATCAGTACCTTCCTCATGGCTATGTACCACCCCCTCCTCCACCTGGGCCCCCACCAGCTTCGCAAGGGAACTTTGGCATTCCTGGTTATCCCTATCCATCCGGCGCTGGCGCCTACGCTCACCATGTGCCTCCTCGGCAAAGCAGCACTACCCAACCGCAGGCTGATCCCTGGTCAGAGCTCAATGCTTGGAAGTGATGATAAGCAGTCACTAATCGGGCAGGGTCCTACGCAGGCAGGCCGAATTGATGTGATAGAAAACGATAGCGCATTATCCACAGTCAATCAAAAATTGTAATCTCATATGATAGCTGATGACATTGACCGAGGAGGTGGGCAGTCCGCCGCAACCGCATCAGGGCAGGCAAACATCACCTCACTATGTATGAATTGGAATCCGTGCACTTTGACTGAGGGATCCCATTTGGCTCAGGGCCCCTGTCTAATTCCACGTCAATCACCTTCTGTCTCACTTCTCAGACAGCGATGGTCCAAACATTGCACCTCAGCATATCTGAGACGTTCGGAAACAGGCGCCAATGAGTGGCGATAACCGGCACGCGCTGTCGAAGCTGCGATTGCCGAAACTTGGGGTAGAGCCGCAGAGACTACAAACCCTGTGTGGCCTGTGTCACGATTCACGACGCAACCATGCGCATCGAAGAAACCTTCGCTTTCTTCGCCGGTGTTTGGTCTGGCAAGTCTAGAGGTGCATCTGCATGAGTATGATCTGTGTCCCCAGAGCAAAGGCGATAGCCTATCACAGCATGGATAGCCTCATATGAGATGATGAACGACAAGATAGTTAGATGATGCGCAACAGGTTTGATTTTCAGAACCGGACAATATAACTGTACAGTTCAGAAAACATGCTTTTGAATGACAGAATATTAACACGAAGCTGTAGTTATGCCGCTGCCACGACTAGTTTGCGAACATCAAGACCAAAGTTCTTCGCGCCGTCCATCTCATTTTCGGGCTGACAACGCGCGCAGGACAGCACGGAGAAAACGCCAATACAATGTTCAAGCCGGGTAACGTTCCTTCTGCTTGACACGCTCGCTAAAGGGAGTGATCAAGTGGCTAATGTCTCCTACGGGGATCTGGAATGGAAAGTCGACAGAAGCGAGCATTTGAGCAAAGAAGATCCACCAGCCTGCCAAAGTTGCGAGGAACCCAAAGGCGCCGGCTGCAACCTGCAATCGCTCTGCCATTTCCGTGTGTCCCAATGCGGTGTGCCAGTATGCGCCAGTTAGGATAACGAAAGTAAGAAGCAGTCCGAGGAAGATGGCCACGAAGACGAGGTTTGTCCGAAGTGCGCAGATGAGGTAGATCAGACTCAGGAGACCCATGAAGAGGAGGAAGAAGCCTATATCACAACCAATTAGTATGGAAGCGGCGATCCTGGGGCTAACTTACCAAAGCTCGCGTGGAATCCGGGGCTGGTGAGTCCTTGTGCGGGCTGATTTGGATCGGCCGCATAAGCTCCATAGGCGTTGAATGATGGTGTCAGTGTCGAGCCAAGCGTGAACCAAAAACCCCCTTTCATTCCAGAGATTAGCTGCCCGAGATGCATCGTTCGCATGAGAAGGACTCACCAAACGAACAGAAGACCACAAACGAGAACGTGTTTCCAAGGAAGAATTCGAGAATACCCCCAAGGCTCATCAGAAAACCTCCAATGAAGTAGTAGGCGCCAACAGTGGCAATGCCATCTCCGCCGGCGCCCCTCCAGCCCATGAGCTCGCACGAAAGCGGGCTGAGGCTAAGCAAGAAGCCTAGGAGTGCCAACGGCGTGGGGTTCGCGAATGTGTTCCGGAGCTCGCCTTTGACGGCGTTTTGCGGATTGAGGTATATCTTCTCAAACAACTCCGGACTAATAGTGACCGAGTTCGCGGTACGGATCTTGTTGATAGCTTCGTCGGAGGGGACATCTCTGCCTAGATGGTAGGGTGACGTGGGCGAGTTGTTCACATAGTTTGGGCGGGCTGACTCTTCGGACACATTGTGCCGGGAAGGAAAGGATGGGTTGAAGTTCTTCTCGTGGTCTTCGGTCTTTCGGTGACGATTATCTCGGTGGAAGGCAAGATATGTATCCATTTGGCCGACTATCGAGTGATTCTTCGAGCAGAGGTAGAAGGTTGACATGGGAGGCTCGGAAACTCTTGATACGAAGAGAGAACGGATGTTTGGCTTTAGGGCGTATGAGTGGTGGTAAAAAGGAGATTTTTCGGTATGGGAAGAAGGTACAAGTCAATTAGAATATATAATTCTAGAAAATCTTTGCACACTTGCTGATTGGAGGAGGAGAGGTGACATTGAGAGGAGAATTTGAGAGATTCTACATGCGCACAGGTTTCAGATTTTGTCCTATCTCCAGCATACCCTGGCGTGCATCAGCACATTGGCCTCTTGCACATGGTCAATGGATGCTGAAGACGGTCATAGCTTGATTAGCGTCCTTGGGGGTATGGGGTAATGGGGTAAATAAACATGGGGCCAACTCTTCTTGCGATATATGCACATGCTCATCATCTGGGGAAGACCGTGCGCAAGCTCTTCCGGCAGTGTAAATGGTCAGTAATAGCTTAGTAGGACGTTGACAAGACTTATGCGCCGCCATTCGCCATTCGCCATTTGCCGTTCGCAAGATCAAACGTGGAGCACATCTGTCATGCTGCATTATGCCGTGTCTCGTTTGGGCCACTCTTAGCTTGGTGAAAATTTTGATATACGTTGAGGAAAGTTTTCTACCATGATTCATGACTCTTTTCTTCGCGCCAGACGGTCTAACAGCTTTCTACTGCTCCTCTGCACGCACTGTGCCTTCTGGCGCTTAAGCGCACACCTCAGAAGATCTGGCGCATGTATAGAACTTAGTTATCCTGGATCACAAGGCGCCGCGAGCCAGAACAAGATGCTCATAGAGATGAGACGGATATCCATATGATAACGGTTCCTGATCCGAAGACGCACCCTGCACAATTCTTCCGTCTTTCAAGCGCCGAATCAGCATTGTGCCGAAGCCGCTGGCTTGAAGGACCTCAAATCATTTGAGGTGCTGGAATCGAACAACCCAATAAGCTCAAATGCATCCTCGTTTGCGATGCAACAGATTAATTTCGCACAGATCGCATCAGGCCAACGAATTCTCTAGGACAGCATCTAACAGGAACAAGTACCAAGAGAAAAGAGGAGGAGGGATGGTCGGCAATATGAACGCTTCCTGATTAGGAGTAGACCAGATTTGCTGTAGCCAGGAGCCTCATCATACTTTGCAATGACGCTGCGACTGCGGGTGCTTCTGTTGTTTTCGGGACGAAGCTGTCTCGATGCTTGTAGTAGTTGGTGTCGCAGGTAACGGCCGACAGCGGAACTCGAATGGCCCCAAGAGCACGAGACAGCCGAACTTAGCCAGTGCGGTTACTGACTTTGTGTGGTATGATATCCATGTTGTCCCTTCAGCAGGTCACTTACCGAGAGCAACTCCATATTTTGATCCCAGACATCGTTCCATCAACTTTGAACATGCTGCAGGGTTATTGTCATTTCTCCTCTAAAAGATCAAAGGTGTCACTAATCTCGTAGATTTGTTGGCGCAATGTTATCGGCTCGAAAAGAAGCTCTGACTCCTCCATGAGAACCCACTGAAAGCAGCAGTCTAAATCTCATCTAAGTACTACTTAGTAAAGGCCCGATAGGTAATCCAGCAAGATCTGGACAGCACCAAATTAGCCAAAACTGTCGCCAAAAACCACCTTTGAGGTGATAAGGCGAGCGGTAAGCAGGCGTCCTGCGAAGAAGCTTGCTGCAGTAGCACATTCACTAAGAGACCATCAAAGCAAAGATTTCTTGGTACAAATGAAATGAACCACATATTCCCTCGGTCAATAAACCTTGAGGCAGAGCATGGACGCTAGGTACCAGGACAGGTGAAATTTTCGGAGAAGATATTTCATAGCTCAGTATGAGTTGACGGCAATCTACCACTCCAAAGGTTCTTCAAGCAGCTCTCCTCTGTTGGTCTTTGGTACCGGTGCAGCCTCCACCTTGACAGGACCATTCCTATTACTTCTTTTCAGATAGCCACTCCCATCGAGCCAGGGCGTATCAATCGATCGCCTGTCTTCGAAACTCCTGATCTTGTCATCCATTTGCATGGTCAAGCCAATGTCATCAAGACCATTAACCAAACAGTGTTTCCGGAATTCTTCAACTTCGAAGTCAGCCAGCTTGTTTCCCGAAGCATCATTGACTCGTTGATTTGGAAGATCGACTTCAATCTCACGGCCTGCCTTGGCCTCTTCAGCAATCTTGAGTAGGGTATTTTGGTCCGGGATAGCCAGCGGTAGCATGCCGTTTTTGAAGGTATTGTTGAAAAATATGTCAGCGTATGAGGGAGCGATAATGCATGTGACTCCGAAATCAAGCAATGCCCATGGCGCATGCTCACGAGAACTACCACAGCCAAAGTTTGGTCCTGTAACCACAAGTATCTTGGCATGCCTGTACGGTTCCTTATTTAAGACAAAGTCAGGTTTCTCGGTACCATCTTCATTGAAACGGAGAGCGTAGAAAAGAGCCGTCCCAAGACCGGTGCGCTTTATCGTCTTCAAGAATTGCTTGGGGATTATCGCGTCTGTGTCAACGTTCGACCGCTCCATGGGCACCGCTATGCCCCTTACTGTACTGAATTTTGGCTGGCCCCCTGAGGAACTTGCAGTGGCGCTATTGGCATGAGGCTGGCTGTGCTCTGGTAAATCGAGTAGACGCTCCAGATCGTCGTCGGTATCAGTGTCAGAGACTTCAGGGCCAAGCTGCACCTTCGGATGAGCCTTTGCTGGTGAAACGTTCTCGTCTACTAATTTTCGAACATCTGCTAATTTGCCTACAATTGCGGCAGCGGCCGCCATGACTGGTGACATGAGATGGGTCCTGCCGCCAGCACCCTGGCGGCCCTCAAAGTTTCGGTTTGAGGTGCTTGCACAACGTTCCTTTGGGGAGAGGATATCTGGGTTCATGCCCAGACACATAGAACAGCCGGCTTCCCGCCATTCGAACCCGGCATCAATGAATGTTTTATCGAGACCCTCAGACTCAGCTTGCTTCTTCACAAGACCAGAGCCAGGGACAACCATGGCCCTTTTGATGTTTAGCGCAATCTTTTTGCCATCAACGATGCGAGCAGCGGCTCGAAGATCCTCGATCCTCGAGTTAGTACAAGAGCCGATGAATACCTTATCGATTTCTATATTCTCCATGGGTGTGCCAGGCGTTAACCCCATGTATTCGAGCGCACGTCTTGCACTGTCCCTTGCTGGTTCCGTGGGAAAGTCATCAGTGTTCGGCACGACGCCGGTGATAGGAACAACATCTTGTGGCGAAGTTCCCCAAGATACCGTCGGAATGATCTCCTTAGCATCGATAAAAACGTCTTCATCAAAAGTCGCGCCTTCGTCGGTCTTGAGACTTGACCAGTATTTGACGGCCTTCATCCATTCCTGGCTGTCAAATTTTGGCGCCAATGGCCTTCCCTGCAGATATTTGAATGTAGTCTCGTCTGGCGCTATCATTCCGGCTCTTGCCCCTGCTTCAATGGACATATTGCAAATTGACATTCTAGCCTCCATGCTCAACCCTCGTATAGCTGATCCGCAGTACTCGATGACTGCACCAGTTCCACCTGCAGTGCCAATTACACCGATGGCGTGAAGAATTATGTCCTTGCTACTGACCCCTGGTGGTATCGCACCGTCCACTCGTATCCTCATGTTCTTACTTCGCTTCGTAATCAGCGTCTGTGTCGCGAGTACATGTTCAACTTCGCTGGTGCCGATACCGAAAGCCAAGGCTCCAAAGGCTCCATGTGTAGATGTATGGCTGTCACCACAGACTACAGTGGTCCCGGGCAGAGTGAAGCCTTGCTCTGGGCCTATAATATGTACAATGCCCTGGCGCTTGTCGCCCAAGCCGAAGTAGGTTAAGCCAAACGCCTTGACGTTCTCTTCCAGGGTGAGGCATTGTGTGCGGGAGTCAGCCTCCTCGACGAATTGTCCCACGTTCTTGAAGTTCTTGCGGGGCGTAGTGGGCACATTCTGTAGGCTGTTACTAATCTAATCGAGACGGAAACAAGATGTCCCACATCCTCACATGATCAGTAGTGGCCAGAGTACAATCTGGTCTCCGCACATTTCGCTTGGCGTTCCTCAATCCCTCAAACGCTTGCTTTGGGCTCGATCAGTCTCCACTTGGCAGCATGAGTTTGCAATACTCACCGGTGATGTGACTTCATGGACGAGATGTCTATCTGCGTAGAACTTCAGTACATGAAGAAAACCTTGTTTGCGAGAATCCTCATACCGATATATAATAGAATTGTTCCATCATCTCGCTCATGAACGATGTGGTCCTGAAAAACCTTGTCGTAAAGTGTTCGGGGTTTTCTGTCTGCAGAAGGCATGTTTCAGGGGTCTGGTACGCAGCTTCAACTATTTCAATTTGGGCGGTGCGGCCACTCAAAGAATACAATAGGGTACATTATGGAAGAGAGAGTAAAGTAGTTACTGTACGACGGGGAGAAAAGTGCCTCCGACATCGGTGCGGTAACCGGCTAAAGCTATCTGCTGATTGGCTGCGTAGTTTCTGCGCTTAGTAAGTCGGTCTCCTGTCCTCCAGGTCGGAAGTTGACTTGACGCGATTCGGTACCTGATAAGATATTTTACAGCGTCATGCTACGACCTATCGTCAAGCTCATCTATTCCCTATTATCCTGTCTAAATACCCATAGAGCGAGCTCATGTCGTACAAATAGGCCTAAAATACCACACAATGCCTGCATAACAAGAAGTTCAATTGCAAGACGGTCTTCCCTCTTGGGACCAAACCAGACAAGCCAAATGTTTAGTAAAGTCAAATTGGTAGACTCGACAATCTCTCCCTCACTGTTCTTTTCCAGTTTAAGTAAGGGTACGGGAAAATTGGCGAGCAGGCTCATCAGCAGAACCACAGGCTTGGACGGCGGGTGTTGCCATTGCGTCATTGACGGTTCTAAGAGGCCGCTTCGCGCGTTGAATCGGGGCAGACGATGTCTTGGACAAGGTATGAGCCGGAACAGCTGTGGTGCAGAGTAGATGAAGTTGATGATTTGTGGTATGAATAGAAGGAGAACCGTCTTGCTGAAATGTCCAAGGATGCCCACAATGGCGAAGACCATGCCCGCGAAATAGCAGTATGTGTCACCCACGAATACCTTTGCTGGATACCAGTTGTGCCACCAGAGAGCCATCGAAACTCCCATGAATGGCAAAAGCAAATACATTGAGAACAGGTGAGGATCGGTCGCTGGGTGAGGATTCGGAGTACTCGGAGCTGCGTAGAGAGATAGGACGTCGTTGGCGAGCAAGAGGCACCCGATGACTAACGATTGAGAAACCTCGATGCCATTGATGCCAGCCAGAATGTTGATGCTGTTCGGGCAGAATATGGCAATTGCAGCCATGTAAGCATAATACAGCCAGCCCAGATTTACCATCTTGCCCAGGTACTGCTCCAGTTGCACCGGTACCACGACATTCGTGACGCCGTAATCGACAAAATAGACGACTAACATAGGAATCGAAGCAAAGGCTGGTATGAAGAGCTTATGTCGCCACCGAATGTCGAACAAATCGTCGCCGATGCCTAATAGAACAACAGATTGTAGGGACAAGATTGCAGATAGATACGTTGCCAACTAGAAGAGGGGTAGAGTCAGTCATCTCGAGCTCTGGAATGTTGCGCTATTCTCTGACCTTGTTATGTGGAAAGCGATGCAAACTCCGACCCGTCTCGACAAACTGGTGTTCAATGACGAGTTCTTTATTGCCTCCGCCTGAAGTGGCGGCCACAATATCTTTGTAAAATGGAAAAGGTATGAAAATAATTATCGTGAGAAGATGGACTACAGCGCATACAGCCCCCATAGTCTCCGGGCTATGATCAAATAATTAGCACCGTAAAAAGGCACAAAAAGATATCTACCAGCCTATGTACATTTCGATCTGGTTGAGCTTTGACATGTCTCGGCCCTTTAGATTCACTTTCATGAAAACGTCTCCGAGCCATCGAATCAGGCTGAAGGTGAGAGCGAATGCTAGACCGCTAAATGCCAACGAGGCGATTAGAGGCTCGCCATCGCCATGGAACGTGTTGATTAGGATGCCAACACAGGCCGCAGAGAGTGTCAAAAGGCTCCATGCCTCTGGCCCAGATAAGGTGGTAGTCATGGCAATTCAAAAGACAATCATTTTTTTATTTCCAAGATGTTGCAGTACAGGCCAAAAATAATAATCGGTCGTCATAAGCGCGATAGCCGCAGCCAGGAGACATTGCTCCGAGTAAAGGACTTTAATTAATTAGGTACTATGTTCTGGATGACAGCGGCACTGTGCGTAATCCAAGTTTGGTTTGAAAAGCCTGATATGGGTGAAAATAGCGATGTAAATGACATCGAAGGGAGGAAGAACGGATTTCAGAGCTTTGAGCATGCGGCCGCCGATATAGGTACTCAATACGTAATACGTTTTATGTATTTCTTTTGGATACTGTTGCTAAACCTCCCTAGTGCTTGCAGCGAGCTTCAATTCTTCTGGCACACGGATAGTCCTGTGCTCGGCAGATCACAAAATCAGGGTGTACAATATAGACGAAGATAACGAGTATTTCTTAGTAGACCAATGGCGTGGTCATGATGCCGAGGTGCTGGATGCAAGTATAGCCCTTCTACTGCCGTGGAGATGCGTTGCTAAGAGGTTTGTAATCTGAAGGTCCAATGGCTTGCATCCAGCTTGGGACAGTTCTTTGCAACTATTGGCGGCGACAACAAGTTCAAACTATGGCGAGAGGACCCATCGCAAGCATTCAAGAGTGGACGACGCTTCAGGTGCATCTTCTCGCAGTCGCCGCTCAACCATGTCTCCTATGTTTCCTTTGGCTCTAAGACTATCAGACATGATCTTTTCCTCTCTCTAATTACCCACGATGGACTACTTTCCCTTTTGGAGCCCGCAGATCCCGAATCGTTGAGCTCATGGAACGTAATCGACAACATCTATCCCTTCGGGCAGCACCATCGAGGCACCGAGGCTAGATTCAGATTATCTTTCCACCAAGGCGAGGGCCCCAGTACCAACGCAGTTTTCGCAGGTTTGGACCCGAATGCAATTTCACTCGCTGTCTCCGCGATCGAACACATAAAAATATATCGCGCCGTTAAGTCTGGTGAGCCTTCGGAAAGTAATTACCTATTTTACGAAATGATCGAGATACAGACCGATGCCACAATCAATGAAATAGCCTGGGCACCGGGATGCCTTCATCCGTACGATATAATTGCTGCGGCCTGTAATGACGGTACAATTCGTATTTTCGAAGTCAACACACCACATGAAGTTGATGCATCGTTAAGGACCCCGGCCGTTAAAGCATACAAACCCAATGGACCGCGAAGAGCGTTACCAGCGACTATGCGTAATGCGCCCTCTGGTATAGGTGCTGGTTTAGCAGACATGTCTCGCAATGCACCTCCACGCGAGGTCATGAATAGCTTGAACATCAAGCATGAGTGGAAACAAGCCGCATTACTGTCGCATGATGAGGCACCTGTCTGGAGGATAAGATGGATATACGACGGTAATTACAAGCATTTGTGAATATGTTGTATTCGTTGTCTGACCTCCTACGTAGGCAGTGCTTTGGCTTCGACAGGCGATGACGGGAAGGTCCACTTATGGAAGCAGAGCTTAAGTGGCGACTACGTTGACTTTGCAGAGACCGAGCCAGTGTGAAGGACGAAGTGGACGAGTGATGATACTATTCTCCCCATTGCTAGAGGCTCATAGCCCCTGAGGAAGCGAGAGCGAGGGTGTTCGCTTCCCTAGCCGACAATACACCATCCAATGATCACAAGGATCGTCTGCACGGGATGCCAGACGCAGTACAGCACTTTATTTACAAAGACAAGCATTCTTGTCACTACCATGAATAAATTCAGAAGCACCAGCAAGTATGCGGCGGCAAGGGCAAGATCTTTCATCGCTCTAAAATGATCCTGTGTTGTTGCATTTGCCGTTCTCAAGGTGGTCAAGGCAGGCGAAGCATGATGCAGTGTCCTCATGACATGGCAAATCATCTGGTGAAGAAGTTGCTGGACAAAGCCCAGTTTAGATGAAAGTTCGACGCAAGCTTCTGCGGCGTAAAACCACCACTTCATGTCTGCTGCTTTCCTCAAAATTGATCGTCTATGCGCCAGAGTGTCCTCCTGCATCAAGGCCGTCAGGTTTGGATGTTCACCTTCCGGCTCGGCCTCAGCCCATTGTCCAGCAAACCATGCCCTGCTATCACCGCCAATAGCAAGCTCTGCGGGTAGGGTTGCCTGCGCCTTGTCGTCAGCAACATATTGAAGCTTCACTCCTGGTACCGCTCTAGATTCGTTACCAAGGTGGCCGTATATAGGGGTGCATCCATCGCCACTTTGGTCCCGCTGAATGCGCTCTCGAGCAACATTTGCACGTCCGATACTTAGTCCTTGAGTCAATTGCGTGGGGTTTGCTAGGTTTTTCGGCCAGTTCTCGCCCGGTGGTTGCCTGAGACAGTCTGCGGGCATCGGTTCCTTCCTCTGATATTTTGTTTCTGCTTGGTCTCTTGCGGAAACGGCCTTCTCTGTGGGTCTGATTGCTCGGCTCCTTGCTGTCATCAAGCCTGAAGTTTGGAAACTGTCCACTGAGTTGGTGCTGGGGTAGGATTGTTTGTTTCTGGGTGCACTTGCTTGACGGTAGCCATCCAGAGGCATCTCGCACCCGGGAGAAAGGTAATTCACTCTCGGAACGACGCTGCTCTCTTCTTGCCTCTGCATTTTCGGCCTCTGTCCCCACCTTGGCCCCTTTGTTGAAGTGGTAATGAAAGTGGTGGTGCACACATCCTTTACAGCTTGCCTTTGTTGTTCTAAAGGCTTCAGCCTTGCCGGCAATCGCTGCGTTGGGCGACGGTAGGAAGACGTTCCTAGGTTGGCGAAATGGCTGGGATGTAGAAATTGCAAGCGGGGGAGGTATTGGTTCAAGGTCAGAGAAGCCGGTGGAGGATCTGACAGCGTTGGGGATGGGCTTGGTTCTGATTCGTTTGGAAGGCACTGGTGTGCTTGCCCAGTAATCAGAGAAGACTGGGATTGGGTAGCGCTCGCTGTCTGGCTGCACGTCGTTTGGGACTCTCGGCCTAAAAAAGGATCCGTCTTTCTCATGGCGTTGCTGATGTCTGTGTGGGATTCAAACGACGACCCTTTTGGTGTGTTGCTTGGAGTGATAATCCTGACCCTTTGCCGCTTCATGATGTCTTTCCTCGGCGTTGGTAGAGAAGATTCTCGGCTGTTTGCGTTAATGATGACCGTGTCACCGGAACCACTCTTGCGAACCACACCGCTTCCGACCTCCTTTCTTTGGATCTTGTGCAATTTGGTAGGGGGTGTGCTAGGTCCTTCCGGCGTCCATTGTCTGGGGGATGGTAATGTATCAGGGTCAAGCATGGCAATACTCCCTCCTCCACGTCTGTATGCCCGAGCAATCCCCTCTTGGTATTTTTTGATCTGCCCATCCGTCATATTCTGTGGGTCGTGGTTATCCACACCGGGCATCTCAACCAGCAATCGATCTCCCAACTGTTTTATAGAAACTGTTCGACCAGTCTTGTCGCTCATACTCTGAGCAATGGGGCTCAAGAGCGGACTCTCCACCAGACTCCATCCAAGGCTGTCCTGCTTCCACTTCTCACTGCGGGTCTTTCTCCTCGGCGAAGGACTGGCTGGTCTGACTTTACCCACAGCAATGTAGTCACCCCCAAGGCACTCCTCGCTGCTATCACTAACAACAAACGGACTCACAAGTCCGGTCCTAGGGTTGGCTCCACGCTCCACCAATTGATCATCTCTGCTCACAGTCCTCATGCTCCCTCGCCTGGCCCCAGGACGATTGCTTCCTCTCTTGATCCTTTGTTCGTCTTTCCGCTCTTGCCTGAATTGACTCGAAGCTTTTACTTCGTCTCTAATTGTATCAGTCTTGTATTGCTCAGTCCCTTCCGCAAAATGTGCTTGTTTGCACTCGCCAAGTAGACCTCTGACAGGCACCGGTTTCCGCTTGGCCTTCTGCCTGGGAGCTTGGATGTCTGGTCCTGCGTTCTGGACCCTCGACTTGGCTCGCTTGTCATTAGTGTCAAGGTAGCCGAAGACTCTGGCTGTGGCATCGATACTCCATATTACAGGGGCGATCTCGTAAGGCTCGACAGGTGAGGAAGGCTGAGGAGGCTTCTTGCGGAAGAGGTTGAATGTCGCGATTGACGGAAATGAGGATGGATTTTCTCTTTTCTTATGCCTAGAAGTGCATAAGGGAGCCGCTCTAACAGAAGTGTTTGGAGTAGGGGGGGACGACATTGTTTGGGTGGAAACGCCACTGCATTCCTCAATGCTCAGGGATAGTCGCTTAAGTATAATGGATTAGGATGAGGGCAAAACATATACGGTGAAGCATTCATAAGACTGAACTGCAAAAATTCGATGGGTTGATGATGTAGCTATCTCTTCATAATTCTTTCATTCGATAGATGGAAAGAGCCACTGGTTGACCACACATTTCCTCGCTATCGTCATTTCTCCGCCATGGCTATTCTACGCACGAAATATCGAAGATTCTCTTCCCAGATCTGCCTTACTGTTCCTGAGCCCTACAAATCGAGTCAGCAATACATTCTGGGTCGCGACGAGCTCTTACACCCTCTGACCGTCCAGCTTGCTGATCGCATTAAAGGCCCGAATTTGAGTCATGGATTTTTGCTCATCTTGACTGACTTGAGCAGAAGGGCGAAATTACTGTGAAAACACACTCTGACATAAGATGGAAAATTTTCGCGAAAGAATACGATACCCGCTTCCGAACGCATCTGGCAGGTGCTATCACACCGGACTGGAGAGCTTGAGATGACACTGAGTTCCCAAGTGCGGATTTCAAAGCTATGCTGGTACAGGGCTGAGGCGTCCAAGGGTATTACGATAGATAAGCTATACCAAACGCTTATAGTTACATTTGTCATGCTGGTCTAATTCGTTTGTGCGCACTTCAGATTCGGTGTCGAGAACTTGAGCATGTTTTGAGCTGAATCGGTTATTTTTGGGTGACGTGGTGGTTTGAAGCTAGACTCATCGTGAAGGTCACCACGGAGAGTACTGCCACAATTTCCAGTTTTTTGCAACTTAGAACCTCCTGCTCTCTCCTCTTGGTCCAGTCCCTTGCAAATGGCCCCATCGCTGTCCGTTCGGCATTGGAGCAAGACTACTTCGTTTCAACGGACTACCCTCCCTCTTCGCGGGACTCAGGCTTCTTTCCCGCTGGCCTTGCGGACCAACAAAACTTGTAGACGCTGACTTGCGAAGTGGCGAGTTTGCATGAGAGAAAACTCCTAAGCTCCCACCGTCTCCAGTACCAGCAGCTCTGAATTGGGGCTGTCGCATGGCGGTCTGTGGACGTATGGGCGATGATGAATCCCGGAGATGAGCCGGAGTCTGCGCAGATGGTGCTGTACTTGCTGAGATACCTCCTGACGGCATCGCTCGCCAAGCAGAGCCATCAAGATCTACATGTTTGGCGTAATTGGGGTTCGGTCGAGTGTGAAAACCTCTATTTATGATGAACGTAGGCGCGTAAACATCCACAGAATCATCTTCATCCGCGTATTGTGGCATGCCATCAGTGGACGTTCCCGAATTACAGTATTGAGTCCCAACATTCCGCATCTGGGGCTGAGTGCGCGGATGAACGTATTTAGTGTCGTACTCATTCATGACCTCCTTATGTATGACAGATGCATCTTTCGACTGCTGCGAGAAGCTTGATTGAAGGAGCAGCATTTGCGCAGACAGTAGGCCTGCAAGCACCATTGTTGTTATAACAGTGGTGCTCGGTCTAGGATCGGAAACTGCAGTTGGTAGGAAAAGCCAATACACCAAGATATGTCCGGGACTGAACAAACAAAACATTCGAAGGGAAATTGGAGTCGGGTCCCAGACTGCAATTTCCCAGACGTCTCTTGTGGCATCCGGATGTGATCGAGCTTCTGCATTCTCGCCGGCAAGTATGTTCGATAAAAAGCGTAGAGGAGATGAAGCCATAGGGGAGGAGTCTACATGGACACGGTGAGCAGACGGCGTGCTCGGCGGAGCGTCCACAGAGCTTTCGAAAAGTCTGTAATGCCGTCGGCGATTGAAAGTATAGGCGGCGTTCACGAAGGACAGTAGGGAGAGGAGATGGACAAGGAAGGCTGCCTGTTACAATCCCACTTAGATGACTGTTGTTTGATCTGCTGTGGGACGGAGACTTACAAACCAGGCCAACCAGGGTGTATAAGCTACCTCGTCTCCGAAGACATCATCCCCATTATTCCTAGCGCTGTATGCAGTGTTTGCTCTTGCAATCAGGAACACCACGTTTAACAGAAAGCCGATAGGATTAGCCCACTCCTTCTTCCACTGATCCCAGTCGTTCGAATCCAATTCCTCGGAGAGCCAAAGTAGGAAGTCGAGCGGGTTCAGATAGGCTTTGATACGTTCTACCAGCGGCCGTCGCCGAATGAGTCGTGGTGCCATACTCGACGTTTCTCTGATCACAAGGAAGAGCGTAAACGGCAATCTTTAGTCCTCAACATTGATCATGAAATGTGAGCCCATCACAGGCTCATTCGCAGCGAGGAGACTCCCGACGAACGCGCAATTGAGAACGCGAATATGAAGGTGTTGAAGAATAAAAGCTACTTAGGTAGGCGTTTGAGGCGGGCGCCGGTCTTGGGGAGATGCGTCTAAACCTCAGCCAATGTAAAGTATAGCGCATGTAATAATACACTTAGTAGGACCAAGTATACACAGAGGAGATTCTACATTTCTGATCCCGCCACGCTATAATTTGAGGATCAAACACATATTTCGAATAGAAGATATTATCTTGGTTTATCTATACTGTAAGATCTAAGAAGTTGTAGTTAAGCTATTAAGTTCTCCCTCGTGAAAGATTTAAAGCAATAATCTACGGGTGAAGAGGCAGCTAATGGTTATATCTGTATTGACACTTAGCGTTGGCTGAGGTTTAGAAGCATCTCTCTTGGGGTCCCCTCTAAGGATTTGCAGGGAATCATTCATCAGCCCAGTCTTCACTTAACACAGTCATCTATTGTCATGGCAGCTCCACCATCCGCGTATAAAGATCGCCACTTTCTAGCTGTCATAGGTGATGAGGTGGGCGTCTATCTACCTCTGGTGATTCGACTGCCTCATGCTTACAATGTGATCTAGGATTCCGTGACAGGTCTGCTGCTTGCTGGTATTGGTGTATGCCCAATTTCAACCTCATAGCCGCTATGAAAGTAGGCTGACCCTGGGAAAACAGCATGTCACTCCACCTCCAGACGCCCAGAAAAACTTTCTCGTCGTAGATGCCAAAACAGAAAACTCAACTATAGAGCAAGCCTTCGACAACTTTACACAGAAGCGAAAGGATATCGCGATAGTACTCATCAATCAACATGTGCGCCAGGACTCTCAAGGCGAACTATGACTTTCTCCTTTCAGCTGACTGATACACTCAGATTGCAGAGAAGATAAGGGGTCGGGTCGATACTTACACAGAAGCTTTTCCCGCAGTATTGGAGATACCGAGCAAAGACCATCCCTACGATCCAGAGAAGGATAGCGTCTTGAAAAGGGTGAGGAGGTTGTTCGGAGAGTGAAAGGGCGGACGACACCAGTGAAGCTCTCTGGACCAGTCAAGGCTACCCACCAAATGGTTACACCCAAGTGATATGACAGGCGATAGGAGTATACATCGGAAAATGACCTCGTCAATGGACGCGAGCGTTGGGACTGGACGATTCACAAAGATCTGAGGAAGAAATTCAATGATATACATTGTACTCGCAAAGCAGGCAGTTGGCTGCTTAAGAGGTCTGTGTACATAGACCCGCCATATAGACGCCAAAACAGCATTCCCAGTCATCTCGGAACATCCTCTGTACACGCTGGTTTGCCTTGCCTCAGACAGTAGTGGACAATCCGCGTAGGGAGTCACGCATGATGAATCCTTGAAAGCGAAGTTTGGAAACATGACGCTATGGGGACCTCAAAATTTGATCGATGCGGTCAAGCATGTGACCTTTACATGATCTTCGGTGTAGACATCTGCAGACACGGTATAATGGCCCTACGAGTTTGTTGCGGTCAGCATAAGCTCGCAGCGCCACGTAACAAGCTGCCACTCACAGGTGGAATTTCCTTTGGTAGATCCACATCCTTTGTGATAGTCTTCTCTCCGATCAATGGACACTCCTCATCGACGGCACTCTTCATCTGCTCGCAAAGATCGGCTTGTTGGTTGATCAAACGAATCAAGCCATACTTGACAACCAGGACGACGTATGCGCCTTGCTCGACCTCTTCTGTGAAGTTACCCTTGGCCTTGATGGTGAGTGTCTTGCCACTGCGAGAGGCGTTAGCAATCCAAGGCGGACTTTGAATGCGCCGGATAGCGAACTTACGGCAAAGGAGGATTTGGTTCTAGGTCAACGTTGTTGATGGTGAGAATGAAGTCGTCACTCTTAGCGCAGAATTCGAGTGGGTTGTCACCAGGCACTTTGAGGTCGTCATCAAGTACTTGTTGATTGCTACCGAAAAAGGAAAGGGAGCTGGACGTGGCAAGAGAAGAAAGGAGGAGCGGCAAAAGGGTGGTAGTGAGCTTCATAGTTGTTGTAGAATGACTGTCAAGGCTTGGTAGAAGAAAAGAGGAGTTTGATCTATCTGTAATGTTTTTTTAGTATCTTGGATGAGCGAGTAGATGGGGAAGCTCACATGATAACCTAGAAGCCGACCATGTATCAATGGAAACGACGAGGGCGTGCTAAAAGTAATAATGCACGGTCTAAAATCCGATAAATCCGGCGTAATATCAAAACATCTACTTCTTATTAAAATTCTATAGTTACTCGATATAATAATAATAAATAATATTAAACTTCTATTATTAGTAATATTAATATATCTAAAAACCTTTTTTTTAATTCTATTAATCTATTAATTCGTTAAAAAACTATTATTATCTCTTCTTTTATTATATTTTACTATTATTATTAAAATTAATATAAATAGAATAATTAATTATTTAATTATTTATATATATTTCTATTTAAATTATAAAGAGTAATTACGAGCTACTATATAGATAATATATATTTATAAAGAAAATCTTATCTAGACTCTTTAAGTTAGAATTAAAACTCTTATTTTTCTTTCTTTTATTATATCTATAATATATTTTAATTCTTTTACTATATTTATATCTCGAACTTTTTAATTTCTCTTTTAAATTTAATAACTTCTCTTATTTATCTTTAAAGAATTAATTTATATAGCTATTCGATAACCGCCTAACTATAATAAATTCAATTTTTTCTATTATAATATACTATAATACTCTATTATCCTATTATAATATATTAAAAAAGCGCTATATCTACTCTTTAGACTCTACTATAATCCCTCTACTATAAAATCGTTTTATATAATTTCCTTTATAATATAGAAAAACGTTATATATAGTATAGCCACCTCTAATTCTAGAAAGACTTCTTCTATTTCTACTTATTTCTCTATTAAAATCTCTATTCTTAATATCTATATAATACTATATATATATTCTACTATCTTTTATATCTTATTAATTATAATTATCTTATAATAGCTTAGAAAGAGTAGTAATTATAAATGAAGATGAAATCTTTCGACTAGATACTTTATTCTTTATTAAATCTATTATTACTTATTCTAGAAAACTCTAATACTCTTAATACTTCTTTTTTATAGATTTATAGAGTTTAAAAGTATTAGAGAGACTCTTATTAAGATATTAAGTAAATAGAGATATTTAAGTTTAATTATAAGCTCGCTAAGAAGTATATATAGCTATTAATATATTAAATCGATTAATCTCTCTTATATATAAGTTATAATAGAAGAATATCCTCGAAATATCGAAATCCTTTTATTAAATATTATTTCTATCCTCCTTAAAAGTAGGTAAAATAATACGATTATTAATATTTATTCTATTAAAATACTTTCTCTTTTTAATAATAATATTATTAATCTCTCTAATATTATATATAGTAATAAGAATTAAAATAAGATTATTATTCTATTAAGCTATTATAAGAATATCGTTCTAAATTACTATAGTAAAGACTTTATATAAAATATTCTTAATAAAAATCTATTTTATCTTTATAAGTAATTTTAAAAGATTTATTCGATTAAACTTTATAGTTCTATATATAGTAATTTTTAAGATTTTTAATCTTTTAGTAAGCTTTAATTCGATAAAATAGTTATTTATAAAGAGAATAGAGTTAGAGAATAGTATATTAATAATTAATTTAAATACTATAATTAATATTTCTTCGAGATCTTTAACTTTTAATTTATTCTCGAGATTTTAATCTTTCCAGATATAGTAAGGACCCTTTTTATTATAGAAAAAACACCCTCAGAATATAAACTCTATAGTATCTACGAAACGACGTTATATATTAGATTTAACGAAGATCTCGTTAGGTTAATATTATATACGCACTCTTTCTTATCGAGAATTCAAGATTACACTAATCTTATTACTTTAAATTACTCTTTTTTAATCTTTTATAATCTAGTTCTTATATCGTAAAGCGAATTAATAATATACTTTTATTATAGCTTCTATAAGAGACGGTTTTTTGATAATTTTATAGGCTTGGAAATTGTTACGTCTAAGTACTCGTAATACTATTATGAATAAGATCCCTTATTTAGTAGTAAGTATAAAAGAAGTCTTTTTACGGCCATAGCGGTTTTTTCGTATAATATCTAGAATTATACTCTTAAGTATAGGTGTAATAATTAAGAGATATTCGAATCTAGACTTATCTATAATATACGATATTAAGAGCTTTTTAAACACAGTAGAATCGTATCCTCTATTACGAGCTTATTTCTAAAGTCGACTAATAATTTAATAAGATATTTCGATAATTATAGTAATAATTTAAGTAGTAATCTCAGCCTCAGTTAAAGTAAGTACTTAAATTCGAGTTCTATTATTATAATTAATACTCTAAGTATTAGATATATTAACGAAAGATAATTAAGATAGAGAATAGTAAGAAGATTTCTATCTATTATACTATATAAACGAGACTTATATACTAAAAGTCTTTATACTCTTCCTCTATTCCTCTACGCTATAACTAATACTTTAATATTATCGCTATTATATATCCTATTAATATCGCTATTATATATATACTTCGTATATATATACTTCGTATATATGTATAGCGTCGCTATTATATAGAGTACTAATACTTATTAAAATAAAGAATAATAATACTATTCATGAATTTGAAAGCATATCAAGCACTTAGCCCTATCTAGACTCTTATCTTGGCATGTCCAGAACTTTTAATATCGACCTCCGTACTTATATTTCTTAAACGCTTTATCTCTTATTATTTATTATAATAAGCGTACTTCGAATATTCTCTAATTCTCTTAGATCTATTAAGAAGATTTATTAATTTTTTTATAATTATAATTATCTTTATTATAATAGATATAAATATTTAAAGATAATTATAATTATAGCGATAGATTATATTATTATTAAAATAGTTATTAAATATAATTTAGATTTATAATCTATTAAAATATAAAGATAGAATACTTAGTTATATTAGCTATAGAGTTACTATAGAGAAAAGAGCGACTAGATATGAATACGCTAAGGCATGTCACGTGACCATGTCACGTGATCCGAATTTCAACAAAAACCAGTACTTGGCAAGCTTTTCACTATTCCTCAGTATGCTAACGTATTTGTGACCTCTCGTGTTGTACGGAAATGCAGCAGCCGGATCTGTTGTAGATAGGACCCTCTCGTACGGAAGACAAAGCTCCATACAATAGTCCCTTTCTCGCCCGCATGACCCAAACTCCTTGCCTAGGCGGATGCCCAATTCCAAGAACTGCATTCATGGCTTTAGGCCGGGGTACCAATGTACTGCTAGTGGTAGATAAGCTACGTTTTGACACAAACAGATGGCCTACTCCCCTCCGATCTCGCTATACTCATGGAATACATCCCTTCCATCCACTCCCACAATCAACCCAAAACCCTTCATCCCACACATTTCGTTACTTCAACAAATTTGTCCACCGCTACAATGGCAGGTTGCAAGGGGTCCAAGTCCACTATATCGATGATTGTTTGGGGCCTTCCCCTGTCTCGACTCATCTCCCTCCAGCTTGTGTTCGTGCAATTGCCCGTGTCTCTCTATCGGGCTTTACAGACGCTATCCTTTCTTTTTACACTTGGCGGCAACATGGCAACTACCTACGTCCTATTTGAGCAAGACACGACATTTTTATACTGGGGACTCGGGGAGGCTACAGGCTTCCAAGAACCCAATTATTGGCATTGGCAGGGGGAAGATGGTGACAGACTCGGGTCAAGCTCAGCTTGAATAAGAATTCATACGACATGCATCTGTTGGGGAAGTTGGATCTTATCTCTTGCTATCCGTACATGGATCCTGATGAAGGCGCCAGGAGGGGCTTTTGATTTTCCGCTTTGCCGCTTAACTGCTTTTGGACAAAGCGTCTTTCACCCTCTTTTCTTAGATTTCCCTCCCTTCCCTTTTCCCTTTTTTCTCTTCTTCCTTCGCTTTTTATCACTGCGGCGCACGCTGCCCTCTTCCATAACTCGACCTTCGTATCCATTCCCGTGATCCTTCTCGAAAGCTGGCTCTAACGCCAATTTTGATTTTCGATTTCCTGGCAACCAAACCGCCTCTCGCTCGCGATCAGAAGGCTGTCTGCGCGCCCATACTCCTTGCTCTCCACAATTTATGAAGGAACATCCAAAAAGTCTCATTTCTTGGAATCATTCCAGTCTTCTCATGAAACTCATCGACAGGAATCCTTCCACGCACCTTCCTCTGGCCTACAAAGCCTCTTGTTGTCCTCGGCCCTCGAGGGAGCCACCTCTGAACCACTGGATGACCCATCTGCAAGTTCTAGAAGTGTACGGAGTCCGTGATAAATTAGTAGTCTCGCATGTTTGAATCATGCAACTCAGGCCACGAATACCTCTTACGACTCGATCTTCATTCTCATGAATTAAGGGGACTCTGTCTGCCATAGTATGACCGATCCTTCTCCCAACACGCACACTGCGACCTCCGTCCAGACAACTGCTGGGTCTGCGCCTTCAACCTCTGCGCATCTACAAGATTCTGCACATGCGCCTGGTGATGAGGTTGAAGACTACATTATAAAGTGCATCTGCGGCTTTCGAGAGGATGATGGGAACACCGTGTACTGTGACCTGTGTGACACTTGGCAGCATACTGAATGTTACTATTACGATAAGCACGGTAATGTGCCCACAAAAGAGGAACTCGAAGTCATCGATCACTTTTGCGCAGAATGCCAACCGAGATCGCTCAATGCAAAAGGTGCCATCGAGCGACAGCGGATCCGGCGAAAAGAACTCGACCCAGGCGATCGAAAAGTCAAGAAAAACGCAGCAAAGAGCCACAAGAAGAAGATTAGAGGGCCGGAATCCAATGGGCTCCTTATCAATGGATGGGATCATAACGACCAAGACTTTTTCGACGACAACACGAACCAGAGTCCGCGCGATCCACACCTGCCTGCCAAAAGGCCCAAGACCAACCATCGGCCTTCGCATTCCATGCAGCTCCCGGTCCTGTCGCAAAACCCCAATTCACATCTTCACAAGCGGTCCGGGTCGACCGTCCACAGTCCGTCCAAGGTCCACGGCAAACACTCGCCGACCGATTACGCAAGGGAACCGTATAGTGACGAATTCCTGAGCCTTTACGACAATGATCCTGGGGATACACCGATGCAAACAAATCTTCTCAATGACATCAGCATCACGCGAGACTTGTCCCATTGGTCTCGCGATGTTGAGCTACTTAGGGAAGCGACAAATGGATTAACGCCTCAAGATGTCTTCATTCGCTGCGAGCAGCCACTGGACTCGATACCTCTACCTGATCTTAATAAGGAATACAGGGAGGAAGAGAGCGCAGTAGCTGGTGGCCGACGGCCCCGATGGACTTATCTCACCATAGATTCCTTCCAGCCAAAAGACTCCATAGTTGGTGAACTCCGCGGCAAGATTGGCCATATGCAGCATTACATCCAAGATCCAAACAATCGATGGGAATACCTACGTCATCCCGCTCCATTCGTCTTCTTTCATCCAAGACTTCCCATCTATATAGACACGCGCTCCGAGGGCACTATCTGTCGCTATCTACGGAGAAGTTGTGATCCTAACTTGAGTATGAGGACATTCTTGGAGAACGGTTGTGACTACCACTTCTGCTTTGTCGCCAAGAAAGATCTAGATGCTGGGACGGAATTGACTATAGGATGGGTCTTGGACGAGCATATTCGAAGCTTCTTCCATCACCGCAATCAAGACGAAGTGAAGATGGAAGGCGACGTTAACGCTGAAGAGGACTATGTTACCGATTGGACGGCCAAAGTATTGGGGGAGTTTGGTGGCTGTGCATGCGATTCCTCCAAGTGTGCTTTCGACCGCTACGACCAGCGGAGTACAAGCATCGCGAAAGGAAGGGACGGACATAACCATAAGCAACTGCAAGGAAATAACGGTTATGGAGCGAATAGCAGAGCCAGTAGCGAGCAGGACGACGGACGATCCTCATCTGGGTCTCATTCTCCAAGTCAGGACATGACACCCACCCGCAACGCCTCCGGCGACATAGGTTTTGGTGTAGAGATTTCCGATCGGGAAAAAAGGAAGATTGCTGCACTAGAGAAAAACTTTGAGCAGCTTGAGAACGATAAGCATCAGCCCGCTCACAAGAAGAAAAAAAGGAACAGTGGCGGGTCAAATGTTAATACACCCTCTGCTGGCGCATCTGTAAGCACCCGTTTCAACGCTGCAGTACTGTCATCTGCTGAAAAATCGGAACAGAAGCAGCTCGGTCACATCGCTACATCCTTTTCTCATCCAAATACTCCTAGCTTGTCCACGAAACCTCAGTACGCAGATGCAAGTACTCCGCGCAGGAAATCCGGATCTCCAACAACCAAATCCTCCAATGCACATGCCAGGCCAAGAACTGGTGCTGCTACCCATGTCAAGAAGCGATCATCTCAGCCCAACACACCCTCGATACTGTCTCCACTCATTCGCCCGAACTATGTCAGCACTGCCATGCAGACTGATCGCGATGATGAAGATGACTGGTACAAGCCGCTGGGCGCTCCTTTCATCGCAAAGAAACCCTACATGTCTTTGACGAAGCGCCTTCTGCTCCGCTCTCAGAGAGATCGGGGAAAGCTCGAAGAGCGTCGGAGGGCCTCAACAAATGATCCAACTCGCATAGAGGCGAACGGGGACTGCGGAGAACTCGTTCCTCCGCAGTTACATGAGGATACCGAGATGCAAGACGCAGGTTCTGGACAGCTATCTTTGTCGGTGCATGCGTCCACGGACTCTTTATTGTACACCCCTTCAAACACTGCAGAGCTCAAGCCTCCTCCGCCTTGGCCTTCGAATGGGTTGCAGGCAGCAGCCGAGCAGTCTCGGCCTATCAATGGTTTTCGTACAATTGACCTCCGAGTGCAGCTGCCCTCAAAGCCATCCGTGCCCACAGACTCTGCCTCAAATACTCCTCTCGTTGAAACTCCTACCTCTGCTGCACCCCAGTCGCCATTTGTTCAAAACTCGGTATCTTACCCTTCACTTTTTTCTAGTCCTTCCTCCAACCTCGTGCAGCCAAGTCCGATCAAGAAGAAGGTCAGTCTGGGCGAGTACTTGACTCGACGGAAGGGATCCCAACCCGCAACAGAGATGCCAGCAAGCAGCAGCCCGACCATGCAGCACGGGACGCTCAAGCACCTGGGAAGCATGACTGGCGAGCCAAAAGATGGTGCAATGCACGGCAGCGCTATTGTGGAAACGCCGAAGGAGGAACATGATCCGTTGGCGGCAGAAGAGAGCAAAGATCTAAGTCTTTGACAAAAGCTACAAGTGGCCTCGTTTCCTTTTACGACCTTACGAGCGAGCGAGGCGTTCCATCGTTCCTTGGGAATGTACGATGTTGATGTGGTATTTTTGTATCATCGGAAGCCGTTGCACGACAGCAAGAGCGCGGTCTTTCAATGGACTATCAGGCGGCTCTTTTGGGCGCTAGCATGAGCAATAACAAAAACCGTAAAATCATCAGTGAGCCCACATGCCATCACCAGTACTGTGATCCATCTTCCGCGCCCTTGGCATAGACTTAAATGAAGCTATGTGTAAGAAGGGGTAAGTGCACTCCACCCCCTAGTCCTATCTATGCTACATCATAATGAGATGTTCCAAGATCCTCATATCAGACTTGCATTTGATGCCAAAGACACAATGCCCCACGCTCTATGCCTCTACAAGATCTACCCATTAAATCTGAATCTCGTAGCCTCGAGCCTGCCGAGACCCTCCCTAGGCGCCACGTTTCTTCTTCTGTAGGAATTGGTGAAATCTTGCAGAAGCACCCGCACCTTTCGCACCTCGCCCTGCTGCAGCTTCATGCCCACCGAACTCATCAAACGCTCGCCCTCCCCCGCCTTGACCGTTCCGGCGGGTAACATGCCAATGGTACCCTTCACCCAGATGGCGACTTGCTGCGGCATGATTTCGAAAAGCGCAAGCAGAACCCCACTGGCGTCGGGAAAGCAGTCATGGGGGAATGAGAACATCATCCCCGTCAGAATTCTCTGCGTGAGCACCTCTCCTTCCTCAGCAATCATGCGCTTGACGCATTGTTGTATATCTGGAGAATTGATGACGCGCGCTGTGTTAGAGGTTTCATCAAAAGAGGAGGAATTGGGATGATCAGTGCCGTAGCTGAGGAAGTCGCGGAGGAAGTGGAGGGTCGCCGTTAGAGGAGCTTCTTGCTGGAGGGTGAGGGCACTGATGGCGGCGGAGAAAATGGGAGAGCAGATGGGAGCAGGTAGCAGAGCTCCGTGGTAGTAGATTAAGGCGTCGATGAGAAGGCGGAAGAAATCCTCGATGACATCGGGTAAGTCGCTAGGGGGCAGGTCGTTCATTATCCGTAGAAAAGCAAGAGCTTGCTGCTCGAAAAAGCTGTAGATTGCTTGTGATGTGGAGGCCTCCACGAATTCGGCACCGTTAGCAAATTCTCTAAGAACAGAATCCGTTGCCCATAGAAAACAACCCTGACGCGAATTTTCGAAGCCAGATGCTAGCTGTTGAGCCAGAGTAGGCAATAAAGGAAGAACAGCCGTGCGATACGAGAGAACCATGTACCGCCAGCATCGGCAGACGCGTTCGAGGATTGGTGTAGAGCTGGTGAAGTTTTCCGCAATTGCAGACATGACCGGTAAAATCTCTTGACAGTACTTCACCGCTGGGTTCTCCAGCGAAGGCGAGACATATGGCTGGATTTGTTGAATGAATATCGTAATGAGTTGCACATAATCTGTCGGAATCCTTGATTAGCACAGTTCACCGCACTTCGGTAGAGGTTGGTGGGATTACCTGCGACGGCTAATCTGGCTGCCTCATCTTCTGCGCCCTTAGCATCGTTGGCTCGAGACATCATCCTCTTGATGATGGGGTCACAATAGGCTTTGAACATAGGATAGATCTTGTCTAACGGCTGCGCCGAGACGACACAGGCTACTCCTTCAGTGATTTCTTCTTGACTTGCCGGCGGAAGCTCGTCAAGCACAGATTCATAGAAGTCATGGAGTTGAGTGACGTGGTCTGTGAGGAGCCTTCTGCAATCTGTGCCAAAAAAGCGAAAGGCAAGCGCAGCAGCTTTTACCACCTCATTCGATTGATGCTTGAACCCGGCAATGACAAAATTCAGCTGCGGTTGCAAGAATTCTGGATGTTGAGCTGTCCAGTCAGTATATCTCCCAAGAGCCATGATAGCTTGAAAGCGCAATTTTTCATGATTGGGAATTTGGACAATCAGCGGGATCACTTGGCGCAAAACAATGTTCTCCTCTGGCGATACCATCCGACCCATTGCTCGCATGCTGAATAAAGGTGCTTCGAGTTCCTGCCAGTGGGGGACCTTCGTGTTAGTAGCTTGTGCGCCATAGGTAGAGATCCATTGCTGTATTAAGCTGAAAGCTTTGCCTAAGCATTCCGTGACGGTAATAACATCGCAGCAATCTTTCAAGACATCTCCCATTTGATGTCGGAACTCTCGGAATTTTTCTTCCTGTTCTCGATCTCCATCAAAGAGATCTGTTTCGTCTGGGCCTCCTGGCTTTGGATACTCCAAATGCTTGATCATGATATCCACCAGTCTCGCAAATACGTCAGCGAACTGATTCCGGGCCGGCTTGTACTTATCGAGCGTGATCATCTGCTTCAATTCGTACCAGAATAGAAAGGTTGAAGCTATAGCGTCCCGATCAGTGTCTCTGGCACAGCACTCCAGGATAGCTTCGACGAGTCCTCTGAACTCATTTGGCAGCCGAGCAATCATGACGACCCAGTGTTCGCCGGCTTCAGCAAACATTCTTGTGAGACCCTTGAAGGTGTCTTCGTCGTCTGACTCTGCGGCTTCCCCTATCCGTGGCCTCAAGGACATTAAACGTGGATATATGAGCTGGATGATCTCGATGGACTCATCTACCTCGCGCGTATCCCTGAGAATCGTGCACATGCAGTCCACCGCAGCCTCAAACGATGCTTCTACGGAGAGTGCATGTACAACAGCATCAAAAAGGGGGGAAGTCACAACATCAGCAGCCGGGATCTCTCGCAGCCATGACGAAATACATTCCAGTAGATGCGGATTTGATGCAGCACTCGCTGGGCTATAATCAGTACTTGAAGATGCTAGCTCTCTGACCTGTAAACCTACTAGACGATTGCGAATATTGGGTCAGAAGCCTGAGGACCTGAGTTGCGTTGTCTTCCAGCAATTCCTTCGTTCTGCACGTGAGGTCCTCTTCCTAAGAGCGATGTGATTCGTTAGATACTGATAATTCTCGCACGCAGAGCCGACGCTGTTTGGCTGCAAGCTGGTGATGTCTCGGCCCCACATACTGTCAAGTTGATTTTTCGGCCCTCGGTGACTTCTTCGGGAAGCACTCTGAGAAAATCCAGAACACAGTCGCCACCGCTGTTTCCCAAGGTTGACCCTACAACTTGCAGGACATCCTTCCACTCTATCATCTGTATGGCTAGATTGACTAGACACACACATAGCTGCGTTCGTATGGGCCTTGGTCCATCACGAAAGGTAGTCAGGAAGTTGAGAATCGAGTCTCGCAGAGCTGGAAGAGATTGTCGGGGAAGCTGATCTAAGTCATACGTAATCTGTGTGAATGGTCAGACGAGCACCTGCAGATTCCTCTGTGAATCGTTTACCTTTCCTTTCAATGTCGTCGCAGCAAACAGCTTTGCTTCTGCCGTGGCGTCCGTGGTAGATAAAATTGAATGTGTCGTTGACCAAGCTTCTGGCTACATTAACGTCAGTATGGTTCACTGAATGGAGCGAGGAAGGTTGTGTTCGACGTACAGACTTCTGGAACTTCTCGAGATACTCGTGCGCTTCTGATTTCTGAGAGCGTTCGGCGTTGCTTTGCATAGTAGACAGAGCTGCCAGTACCGGTGCAAAGCCTTCTGCTCCTGAAGCAGCCATGTCTGCAGACCCTGTTGTTTTCGATGCTGTATTTTCAGGGAGCAATATTCTCGGAGACGTCCACAGCTGAGTCACGCATGGGTATAGACGTAAACTGGAGAGAGGTCTGAGTGTGAATCGAGAAGGGGAAATCGCGGTATGAGGAGAGTGAAGTAGTAAAAGAATCGTGATATTGTACAGGTAATGCTAGCGTTGAATTGTTCAATGCCGATTGCGGCGGATCAATGCTCGGCCCGCCTTCTTTGCGCAATCCCAAATCGCCTCGGTCCTACACTTGAAAAACAAGCACTGAGCTGAGCTGCATCTGGAAAGCACAGGATACAAGCATAACACCTTACTACCTTCGGACCCTCTGTGACTTTGATCACTACGAGAGAAGGATATCCCTTCCCATCTTTGAACACTCCGGCGTCTTGAGATCCTGAAGACTGCCAGAAAGCACAATGACCGGCCGTGGAGGAGGTGGAGGAGGAGGAAGAGGAAAGGTCCTTTTACCTCCGATCAACTTCATATTCAAGCTCCTACAGCAGCGCTCGACTGTGTCAATATGGTTGTTTGAGCAGCTGGCTATCCGAATAGAGGGCAAGATTAGGGTATAATCTGCTATGAAGCTCGGGGCTAGAACAAGCTAAAAAAGATGGCACAGGGCTTCGATGAGTTCATGAATCTGGTGATAGACGATGCCGTGGAAGTCAAGCAAGCTACAAAGACAGAGGAGGAGAAGCGCAGGGAATTAGGTATAGATGCTTCCAGAAGATGGCTTTGTGAGCCTTCGCTAACACTCAATGTAAGGCCAGATACTTCTGAAAGGAGATAACGTGTCTCTAATCCAGGCCCTACAATAATTTTTTTGGTAATCAAGTGAACGGCGGAGAATTGGAGAATTCACATGTCCAAATAACTGCAAGGCTCCTTAGGAATTCCAAGAGAAAGCTTTTCGAATTGTCTCTCATATTTAGATTTGCTGGGGTTTTATTTACGAATGACCGAACCATCACCAACGACCAATGCGTCTAACCGCCAATCAGAAGCACCAGTAGGAATTTCGTCCGGCGACAGCTGCACATCAAGGGCGAGTCCGACTAGAAGAATATGAGTAAGTTTCAGAATGACCGGGTTCGAGGTTCAAACCCCTTGGCACGCACCGAGGAAGGGCATCCTTGTTTCTTCTCCGAGCAGAGAAACCTTCAAATCATGGTAACGCTCCAGAAAAAAGTCATAGAAACCTTTGCCGTGCCCAAGTCTTCCTAAGCCTTTATCAAAAGCCACTCCAGGCATGACAATCAAGTCAAGTCTTCTTGATTCTGTGCTCCTGCTTCTCGAACTCGTCTCGCTCTTTGCGGAATCTTGTGAGACGGCGCCAGAAGATTTCCCTGACTCTTCCAAGATTCGACTTCTCTCGGCTATTGAATTCTTTGCTACGGAGGGAATGCCCCAAGCATCAGGCTCCAATCCTTCGTAGTCGCTCTTCGACCACAGAGATACCATATCCATTGTAGAGCAGGACTTGGAACAATCCTGGACTTTGCTATGGTAGATGTAGGGCACAAAGATCTGTTTGCCCTGTCGGAGAGCATCATTTATAATAGCTGTTGTGACCAATTCACCTTTTGGCATGGATAGATAAACGCCAATGCACTGGGCTTTCTTATATTCTGGTAATGAAAGCAAGATTTCCGTAGCAGCAGCAGCTGTTGGATCCAAAAATCAGCAAACCGGGCTATATGAGGATTCCAACGTTCCACAGACATTGCTGTTTGAGAGATTCAGGAGACATGTGTGAGAGTCGCTGGCGCATCAGTGTTCGCAATTCCTTCTTCGCCGCTCGTAGTCCGGCCATCTCCGGCGCGTATGCCAATGACAGATTGCAGTCATTAAGTATGAGCGTCCGTTGGTCTTGAGGGCAGTATTTCAGGCAGTCCAATGCATGTGCTCTGATTTGACGACCTCACACATATATACACAATATCCTCCACCATTCAAGTCTCACATAAAGTGCGAACGTTGGTAATTCCTATTGCTCTACTCTATGTTTCTATTTTGACTCTTTGACATGCGGCTCACGCACTAGAGAATTAAGCTCCCGACTGGCCGATAACGCCCCTTCCCTCGTTCAGCCTTAGTCCTTACTGTACTTCACGTTATGTAAGGTACTTATGTACCGTAATGTATTATTCCACCAATTTTTCGACTTGCGCTCTAACTCTTGGACGTAAATCCAGCACCCTTTTTATGAGTCCACCTTAGAAAATCTACTTGCTTTCCAGCACCCCATACTTCATGATCGTGTCGCTACGGTCATCACTGGCCGCGAGCGCGCTGCTTATATACTCGATATCCGCGCAGACAGATCCACAATTAACGGGAACATGGACCACCAAATCGAGGAGCGTCATCACTGGACCAGTAAGTGTAATGCTTTTCTTCGCGATGTTTACTACTCGCTCCGCTGTTTTATAAAAGAAGAGTCGCGCTGAGTGCATGAACTTGGCAAGACTGACAAAAGCAGGGATTCTACGACCCAGTGAACGAGAAAATCTTTGAGCCTGCTCTGACAGGCTTTTCATATTCCTTTACCGATGATGGCCATTACGAGGAGGCGTACTACAGAGCCATTTCAAATCGTGCGTCGTTGATCGCCCACCCCAGCTCAGTTGATGCAAGCTCTAACTACTCTCTAGCTGGCGACCCTTCGTGCCCGCAAGGCATCATACAATGGCAGCACGGCACATATGCGAAAAATGCAAATGGCTCTCTCACCCTGACACCATTTGGAGTCGATGGTCGCCAATTGCTTTCAGATCCCTGCAACAATGCCAATGCCATATTCACCCGCTACAATCAATTCGAACTCTTCAAGGTACAGTCAACAGTTTGGAGCCCTTGCTACCGGTTAACAAAGTCACTCACGCTATCATAGGACTACGAAGTTGTCGTAGATGGTTATAGTAAAGCTCAGCGCCTCAATCTTTTTGCATCCGATGGCTCCCCTCTCAACCCCATGTATCTCGCCTACAATCCACCGGAAATGCTACCGACTCAGACCTTGAACCCCACGGCTAGTGCTTCCGGCGCTGGAGCTACATCCACAGGGAAAGCAAAGCGGACTCTCGAAGATATGGATAGTTTCGTCGAGCCTTTGAACAAGAGCGTTCTGAGGAAACGGAGAGAGCCTGTCAATGCTGATAAATGGTGGTGGATGGGTGTAGGTATGACGGCTTTGGGGGGCATAGGATACTATTGTTTTTGATAGGCGTGGATTGGGTCACGCAATACCATTATATGAGCGATATGCGGTGCATCTGGATTTCTGGTGCCTGCATGCCTAGATATTACATAGCATTGAACTAGACCTTTTTTGAAAACTTTCTTTGGTCGCCCGCCTCTTCAAATTCGACTTCAGATTGTCTCCCAAATATAATTGTTTCGATCAATCAAGGGCATTGACCACAGTCACCCCGCCTAGGATACACTTCCTGCTACTAGTATAATCCATCCTTTCTTGCCGGCCGAGACGATGAATTGATACGACTTCGCGATGTCACTCTGGCAGTACGTCCCCATTCGAAGTTCCCTATTCCATTCCTCGAATCAACGGTCCCGCAGCTTCTGCTGAGAAGCCCACAGATCCTTTCGCAATCTCCAGCCGCGAACACGCGTCTACTTTGGCCTCGGGACCATGGCTTGGGCGGGGCTTGGACTTCTATTGTCAGACAAAGCGGAAAAGTTCTTTGAACTCAAGCCTACAGAGAAGGACAAGGAAGGCCTGAAAGATTTGCTACCGAGAGTGAGGAGGGTGGACTGATCACTGGAGAACGCGAAATGTCGAGATTGCGATGTCAAGCAAGCTGAGTAAGAGGCTTTCATGCAGGAAACAGGAACATGCCGACAGGGTTCCAAATGGGCCGCCTGTGGTAGCCATAGCACGGAGGGCTAGGAGCCATGTAAGATACCGTTGTTGTGAGCTAGGCGGTATAGTGGAAGCACGATTGAATAAATGTCATATACTTCCGTAGAATCTACCTATGGCTACCACTATGCTATAGCTTTATGCTCATTTTATCATCACAATGCTTGCTAAGGAAGATAAGGGACTTAGCAATCCCACCAAACCCCACCGCTGATGACTGCAAGCCCAAGGTGCAGTAAAGAAAAGGGGAGAGGACAACAGTATTCTCAATTTCCCCCCGCATAAACCCTGTCAATCTCCTTCTGATACTTCGACACAAGAGCTCTACGGTTAATCTTCTGTGCAGCTGTAGTCAACCCCTACCAGCTTGTAAGTACAGACCATCTCAGTTTACAGCGAGATCGGTGTGCTTACATTTGCTGAGTTCCACTCTTCATCGGACAAGACCACGCCGTCAATGATCTCAATGCCAGCCAACCCACCACCTCTGCCAGCAGCCTGCATCTCCTTCAACACGATACTGTTCAACTTTTTGCTATGAACAAGGTCTTCAATGCCGTTGCCTTCAATGCTGTTCTCCTCCGCTAGTTTCTTGAGAGCCGGCTCAGCGGGCACGATAATTGCAACAGGTCTATTTTTGTCGGTCGCAGCATAGACGCAGATGTTGGCCACTACTGTTGCGGAACGGTAAATAGACTCCAGCTATGTTCCAATTAGTCAATACTCAAATCTGAAGGGCTAGGGTATCAAACCTTCTCAAGAGCAATATATTCACCGTTGAGTGTCTTGACAAGATTTTTCTTGCGGTCAATCATTCTGAGGTGTCCGTTCTTATCGAATTCGCCAATGTCGCCCGTCTTGAACCAACCATCATCGGTTAGGGTTTCCTTTGTCTCCTTCTCGTTCTCGAAGTAGCCTTGGAAGACAGGAGGTCCTCTAATCCAGACCTCGCCCTGAGGTGGATTATTGGAGGCGAAGTATCCGGCGTCTGGGAAGTCAACAAGTTTGATTTCGACGGAAGATGGAATGTCTCCCAGAGCGTTATCGGTCCAGTGCATAGGATCGTTCAGAGCGCCCATTGCAGTTGTCTCCGTAAGGCCGTACCCCGATATCATGGGAGTGATGGCCAGAGAGATAAAGCGTTGGGTATCCCTTGCGATGGGTCCACCCCCGTTCATGCAGACACGCAGCTGACCACCAGTCGCATCCTTGATCTTCTTGAAGACCACAGAATCGAGAATTGCTGTTCCTGGCAACCCGGTAGACATCAGGAAACTCTTTGCAGCAAGCGCGCTCCAGAAAAGATTCTTCACTACCATGCCCGACTGGTTTACCTTGGCAATGACACCTTTCTTCACAGACTCCCAGACCGCTGGGACACCCACCAAGATGGTCGGTTTGAATTCGCGGATGTCTCCCTTACAGTTGCGCACGGAGGTATCGGAAAGTGTCTTGGGACTGCCGTAGCCCATGGTACCGCCCCAATATAAGCATGCGTTCTCGAAGACAAACTCTAGAATATGAGCCTGAGGAAGATATGTAAGCAGCCTGTCTCCAGGTCCGATGTATTGGCCGATGATCGTAGTCACACCAGCAATGGATGCGACAACAGCGCTGTGCTTGATGAGAACACCCTTTGGGGCACCAGTGGAACCAGATGTGTACATAATGCAGCAGAGATCGTCTGCCGCTGGGGGTACAGGATCCACCGGGTTGTTCTCGCCAAGTTGCCTCAACTCTTCGAAGCTAAGGATTGTCAGATAATCGTAGGTGCTCTTCAGCTTGTTGATGTTCTCCTCCTTTACTTCTCCGTCTCCATTGTAGATCACGAACTTGATCTCTCTTGCTTCCTTCAGAGGATTGACCAGGGTCTTGAGTAGATGTGGATCACAGAAGATAGCCTTCGCTTTTGTCTGAACAAGAGAATGCTTCAAACCTTCTTCTCCCAATGTATCGTATGCCGTGGCTATTGGCATTGACTGTGAGACTGCACCATGTGACATGGCAAGCCAGTGGGCGCTGTGAAGAGCATAATTAGCTATAAAGTTGCTCGTGCATGAAGAGAATAGAAGGCCTTGCCTTGTGCCTGAAAACAATTGCAAGCGGTCGCCTTTGATCATTCCAAGTTTCCGTAGACCAGCTCCCATCTGAAGAGCTAACCTCTCGTACTCGCTGAAGCTGATGTAGCTGTAGCCGCTCAACTCGAAGAAAGACCAGTCCTTGTTGACCTCTTCTGTCTTACCATCGACCATCTTCTTAACCTTTTTCGTCTCATGGTGGGTCTTGACCAACTTCCTTGAGCCTAAGGCTTTGGCATTCCCGAACCTGTCGGCGCTCCGCTTCAAGATATCAAAGATGGTTGTGACATCTTCCGAGGGGGTAGTGACCAGCTTGTCCTTGGAGTCAGGATGTCTTCGAGGTATTGTTTCGCCCTTGACAGGCTCGTAACCGGGTGCTTCGACGGTGAAGGGACCACTTTGGGACATGCGCGGCTGCAATTGTTGAGTCTTTTTCGACATGTTGAGAGTTCGTTATGATGAAGGATGTGTATATGAAAAGGGTTGTTTTCTCCACTAAAAGCCGTTGCGGTGATGGTGCAGCCTACGGCGAGACTCGTGGCTGGTGGCAGGTAAAGTAGGTGCCCGCTGAAGCGTAGATTAACCTCGGTTCCGAACTTTCGATGATGTAATTTTTCAACACTCCGTAGCTTTATTACCTCGACTCGCCGTAATATCGTAATATTAGAACATGTCGAGTTCGTACGAACTTGATTTTTCTCTTTATCTCGTTTTCAGACTGTCTTAATTATTGCTATACATTGTGTCATGTCTCTTGATGTGTTGACGGCGGGCTCTGTGTCGCTACCTACAGGGCACCGGTGATAATCGTATCTACCCCCATTCGCGCCATCTTAAATCCGATAATTCCGACGCAACACCAAAATGCCTACCTTTCACCAAATTTATATGGCAAACTAGCACAATAATATTGATCTTTCATTACTATTAAGGCTTCTATATCGGAGAGCCTAAATCACCGTTTTTTGGGCCTTATCGGCCTACCATGTCTTGAAAAAACCGTCACTACCTCTTCTTCTACTACCTCTTCTTCTTCTATCTCTTACCGAACTATGTATGTGGGAAGGAGGCATGATATAGTAGGAGATGCCTCCGCCAAGGCCCGCTAGCCATAGGGCTGAGTGGTGTGTCAAGGGTACGCTCGTAACACTACCCCCCCCTCTCAATAGCCATGGCCCCCATGGCTGGTAGACCGGGAGATGCACGCCCATTGCTTGCCCTGTGTCTCCAAACATCCATAGTCCCTGTAGGCCTTGATTGGAGAAGATTTGCCGAGGTGTAGCGGTAGCAGTCGAACATCGGATGGTTTCAATTCGTTCAAAAAGACCATGTCCGAGGTATTGCCGGGCCGCATGCTGGTCTTGACTGTGCCATGCCTGCCATACCCACATTGTCCTTCAGAGATCCTGGAGATATTGGCCATATCTTGCCTGCGTGCCAGCAAGATTCTCCGAGTTCTTCTCCTTGCCCAGTCTTCTTGCCATAGTCCTCCACTTTTTTTTTTGCCTTCAACACCTACTGGCAGCCTGGCCTGGGAGCTTCACTGTAGATTTGCCCTGCGTCTCCCATGCTCTTGCCATCAAGTCCATCGGTAGAATTGAAGAAAATCCAACGCATGCATATGTCATCCTCCAACACCTGTTGGCAGCCTGGCCTGGGAGCTGCACTGTAGATTTGCCCTGTGTCTCCCATGCTCTTGCCATCAAGTCCATCCATTCCATCCTTTGTCTCAACTCGTAACCATCTTGCTTCGTAGTGCTATCCATTGCATCCATCCGCTTTGTAAGCCTACCGCTTCGACTGCCGGTACCCCGTAGGCCTACCCGTCCTAAGCTGCCATAGCGAGTACTCAGCAGCCAATGACCTGACTGACATAGACCACTTCCGTAAACTCATGCACTTGTCGATTCGTAGGTGTGGTAGGTGATAAGAATCGAATGTGTTGAATGCCATTTGGTAGCAGGCTCACTATGTGTGTTGTCGACATGCTCAGTGAAGAGATCGTACGTTTGCTGCCATTGTAGCAGGCTCACTGTGTGTGTTGTCGATATGCTCAGTGAAGAGGTCGAATCGTAATCGTGTTGTCGGGTCTGTTCCCGTCGCCATTGTAGCAGGCTCACTATGGTGTGTGGGGGTGGTGTTTGTCTGTCAATTTCTTTCTGATTCGCTTGCAGTACGAATGGTCCAGCGGTGCTTTATCCCTCCTGCTGTCCAGAGGCCGTTCCGTCATGCCGAAACGAATTACCCGTTTGGTGGGCTGACCCAAGGATACGATGCCTTAAGTTCCTGTCTTGACCTCAACCGGTCGTGGTGTCTTGGTCTCAAGTTAGTATCTTGACAAAGCCCTTGCCAGCGCGTTTGTTTATTAACCATTCGTCCGCTAATCCGAATGGGCGTGAGTGTGCGTTGATTGGCCCGTATGTGTTTCTCTTCGGGTCTTTTTTCGAGAAATCTTACTAGCGTAACTTAATATATCGCTTTTTTTTCTTTCTTCGAGAATCGAGAATCGTTTATAGCTTAAGCTTAATTAATTAATCATAATTAAAATTAAGAAATATCTTTTTCTTCTTTATAAAACTTCTTTTCTAGAAGTATATATATGCTTCTTATATAGTATCTCTAATAATTAATAATAATATTACGACTTTTCTATATTCTTTAATTATTATTCTTATTATTTTTTATATTAAAGATACTATTCTTATATTAAAAAGTTTTACTTCTATTACTTTCTTAAAGAAAGAATCTTTTTTTAAAAGGAAGGATCGCTATAAAAGCTATTTAATTCCCTCTTATCTTTTTAAATAACTTTTCTTCTCTTAAAGAAAACTTATCTTTTATTTTTAATACCTTTGTTTTTTAATAAGACTTTCTTTTTATTTCTTTTTATATCTTCTTTTATAATAAAGTATAATTATTTATAATCGACGAAGTTAGAAAATCTATATTAAATAGAATTAACGATTTTACTTATTTTTTAATTTTAAGCTTTCTTAATAAAAAATCTTAAACTAGTATAAGTAAATTCTTAATAAGAATTATTATTAGATTATTAAATCGATTATATAGACTTACGATTTACTTATCGATATTCTTTATAATTAAGATTTATATATTTAATAAGATTAATCTTAGAGTATTAACTTAATCTCTCTTTCGAAAAATACTTAATTAGGAAAACCTCTTATCTATTCTCTTTTCTAAAATTATAATTTTAAATTTATAAATACTCTAATAAAAGTAGTTATTATCTTTATTTATAAAATTTATTATTATATAAATAGTAATTATTTTCTTATCTAATAAGTTAGAATAACTTAATTTAAATTTAAAAATATCTTTATTTTTAAGAATTTAAGCTTTAATTTAAGAGGTTATATAAATATCTTTCTAGAGTTATTATCTTCTTCTTTTCTTAAAATAACTTAATCTTCTCGTCTTAATAGAACTTCTTTTTTTAAGCTCGATAAAGATAAAGAAAGAAGACTTATTAATTTTTTCTTATTATTATTTATAACTCTTATATAAAAACCTTAATCTCTTTATTAATCTCGATCTTTATCTTTCTTTTTATCGCTTTTAAATTCTATATTAAAAGTAAATTAGACTTTAAGAAAGTTAAGTATATTAAATTTCTAGAATCTCTATATAGTAATAAACTTAATAAATAAAATTCTCTTTTTATCGAGTTAAGCTATATTTAATAAGATATTAAAAAATAATAATAAAGAATATCGAAATTTCTTAAGTATAGGATTTTCTAATAATAAATTTAATAGATTAATTTTTAATTAGTTAAAAGCTTTTAATTTAGAAAATATTACTTTAAAATTTAATTTTAATAAAAATTAGCTTTTATAAAATTAAGAGAGTCTTTAATAAATATTATCTTCGCTTATAAAAGTAAATTTAATAATATAATAGATTATATTATAAGTTATATAAATAACTTTAAATAATTTATAACTCTTTTCTAATATTATAGATTTAATAAATTTATAAAATCTTTTAGAATCTTTTAAATAAGCTACTTCGAGAAAATCTAATAATAATTTTTATATCTTTAATCTAGAATTCTTTTATTTAGATCTTAAAGAATTATATAATATTAATAATATTATTTTTAATAATAAAGAAATTATATATTAGAAAGTATATTCTTATATTAATATATAAAAGACTACGTTATAATTAAAGAAGAGAATATTATATATATAAATCTCTTAACTTATTTTTAAGAAGCTATCTTATTTTAATAACTAAATACTTTATTTTAAGACGAGAAAAATATAATAATATAATTTTAAATAGAATTAAGAAGAACGCTTACTCGACTATAAGATTATTTTAAAATATTTATATTCTTAACTTTAAATTAATTTATAAGATAAATTTATACTTTTAATAATATTAATAATAGATATAATCTTATAAGCTATATATAAAGTATCTTTAAATATATTATATAAATAGAAATCTTTATAAAGTATATTTAAGTTATTTAGATATAAAATTACTTAAAAATCAAATTATAAATAAATATATCGCCTTTAATTTCTTAAATTATACTTCGCGAATTTATAAAGAAACTTAATAATAGAAAGAAGCTATAATATTATTTTAATTAATAAAAAAATTATAATATAAAAATATATAAAAAAAGTTTAAGATTAAGAATAAGAGAGAGATAGAAATTAAGATTATAAATAACGATTTAATAAGAATAGATTTTTTTATAAAGAATAATAAGATAGATTTTAAAAAGCTTAAAAGCGATTATTTCTTTCTTCTCGCTCTTTTATAATAGATTTATAAATATATAATACTTATTCTTATTAGTTAAAATTATTATATCTAGATTATAAATATTAATAATAATCAAATTTCTCTATATATCCCTTTTATACTTTTTAAACTTATACGCTTTATTAATAGAATTAAGATAATTAAGTATCTTCTTATATATAATTATCTAAATAATAATTTCTATAGACTTCGCTTTAGACTTAGATTTAGACTTAGACTTTGATTATAACTTTAAGAAATTAAGCTTTAAAAAACGCTTTATTAACTTTTAAGTAGTTATTTATAATTATAATTAAAAACGCTTAACTAAATTAATTATAATATTTAAATTAAATAAACTATTAGAATTATAATAGATATTTATTTTATTTAATTAGATAATATAACGATAATTAAAGATATAATAATTAGAAATTTATAGAGAATATCTATATCTTAATTCTCTATAGAAAGTATACTTTTATAATCTTAAAAATAAGAGCTTTATTTCTAAGAGCTATTATAAAGACTATAATCTTATATATTTATAGAATTCTTTAATATATTATATAAGTAGTAATAATTATTTTTATAATATATATAAGAATAAGACTTTAGAAGATAAGAAATTCGATTATAAGAATAAGAAAGTCGAC